CTTATTGCCCAATCCGTCACAACGGCCAACTGTTGGCTCAACGAATCAAGGAGCATCCCTTCATCCCTTCCATGAGTCGATCGTCCAAGGGAGGTGTCTTTGCGGCAGATAGCTATTGTACCCATCCACAATACCACCTTGCATGATCCTGCACATGACGTGAAGTTCACTTGGGCGCTTCTAGCTGTGATTATTGGACTCGTCACACCCGTAAGCGCCATCCGTGCCATCACCAACGGCATCACCAACGGCATCACCAACGAGGCGCAGATATTGGCTACGTAGCACGTATTGTCCTGTGGCCGTCCGGCGCAGCTCCCATTGATGTAGGCATTGAGAGGCCCACTAATGTGACTGGGCACAGTTCACAATGGAGTCTCACGCTGGAAGGATTGCTCGAAATAACACCCTGACACAGGCTAATTTCGCTAGATATGGCGCCATCCCCGCACGACAATAGCCTGGCTTACGTTGGGTTGCACGCACGAGTCACTGAGGGGGTACCACCATTGAGAGAGCTGCGTTCTGATGGGCGCATTACAGGCAGGTCCTTTTGGCTCGGGGGCGGGATCTATTGAGTGCGCGTTGGTTAGGCATAGTTCATTAACCACACTGGAATGCAGCCACTCATCACACTGGGCCTTTGTAATCAAGGGGAGGACTTTTGCACCAGATCAGGGCACGAGCTGAAGTGCTGAACTGCCAACACGTGGAAAGAAAGAACGAGGCCCCAACGGACCGCAGTGGACCGGAAGCCCAGCAGCTATTCTTAGCCCACCCATGCAGTGAATCGACCCCATCTCCCCTTGTCCATCACCATGGGCCCCCTTGCTGCTAGATTCCCATCACTGATCATGAATCACTGCTCTGTTGGCCGCCCGGCCGAAACAATACCTTGGTGTGTCATGGGAGGATCAATTCGCTCTGCCTCGCGAGCGTCTTAAGAATCCACCATGTCCCTCCGCCTGCTCCTCTTCGTTCCCGGTCTTGAATCCTTTGGTCAAACACTAGGCTCGGCTTTAGTCTTCTCTCCGTTGCTGTCAAAACGGGATCTGTCTTGACTGACGTAAAGAAGCTAATTGATCACCGAGAGACCAGTGTAAGGCTGACTGGACATGCCTCGACCTCTTACTCAGCTGGGATAGTTGACTGCTTTCAAAACCACCTTCATCCTCTCTTTATCCTAGCGCTAACTCTCCCATACTGGTCTTCTGCTAGACTTGATTCTCCACTGGCTTCTTCCGCTGATACTTTCTTTGCTGCCATTCGTTACACCACCACCATGCTGCTGCTCGACCTCCCGAACGAGCTCTTGGAGGCCATCTCCGTTTCCATCCTCGACGATGCCGATATCAGTGCCTTCAGCCGGACCTGCTGGAGGGCCTTCCGCTCCTCCTCTGCCCACCTCTACCGCAACAACTACCTACACAACGACGGTTCGGCAATGACCTGGGCACTGAAGAACAAACGCCCCGAGACCGTCCGCCGTGCCATTGATGCTGGTATCGACCTCGTCAAGCTACACCACATCACCACCGCCGCCGAGATCGGCGACTCTGAAGTATTTCACAGCCTCTTGGCCTGCAAGGACAATTACGGAGGCTTCGACCAGCTTAGTCGGGACGAAAAGGGCGGCTTCCCCATCCTCTCCGCCGTCGGGTCCGGCTGCTTCGACATCGTCAAGACCCTGCTCGAGACCGGCAAGGTCAACATCAACATTCGCGACCGCCACCAACACACCGCCCTCCACGTCGCCGCCCACGACGGAAGCCACGAGATTGCTACCCTCCTCCTCGAGTACGATGCCGACGTCTACGCCAAGGACAGCTTTGGTCGAATCCCCCTCTCCATCGCTGCGAGCCCGCACACGTACCAGAACTGCCCTCGAAACCACACCGTCCAGCGAGATAGGGAGAGCTTCCTCGAGACGATTAAACAGCTCATCGCCTACGGTTCCCGAGTCGAGTATAGAGAACCAGACGGTGAGACGGCCCTGCACAGCGCCGCCTCTGCCGGGTTCTGCGATGTCGTCGAGCTTCTCGCCACACGATACGGCGCCGATGTTAATACTCGAGACGGAGCTGGGCGCACACCCCTACACACGACGAGTCTATACCTGGGCAAGCTGGAGATGACCCAGCTGTTGGTGTCTCTGGGTGCCAATCCGAATGCCCTGAGCAAGGAAGGCCAGAACTCGCTGTCGATGGACCGCAACGCCGAGGAGCCCGCCCTGGTCGCCGCTTACCTGCTCGAGCACGGCGCTAGGATGGTCATCGACATCAAGGGGGCCACGCCCCTCCACATGGTCGGCTTCATGGGCTCGGTCGAGCTGGTGGACGTGCTGCTCAAGCACGGCGCGGACATCAACGCTCAGGACATCAAGAAGATGACGCCGCTGCACTGCGCCGCCCAGATCCCCGAAGCCGGAGACGTCATCCGCAGGCTGGTCGAGCGGGGCGCCAACGTCGGGATCAAGAACATGCAGGGCGAGACGGCGCTGGCGTGCGCCCTCGACAACTACTCCTTCGAGGTCGTCGAGTTCCTCCTCAAGCAGGGGGCCAGCCCCAACTGCGTCAACCGCTTCGGCGTCCCCGTCATCCAGGAGGCTATCGAGCGCCAGGCCGTCGACCTCGTCCAGGTCCTCCTCGACCACGGGGCCAAGACCAACATGGCCAGCCCGGACGGCCAGACGGCCACCCACTACGCCGCCCTGGTCGGCAACATCGAGATCATGAAGCTCCTCTTCCGCTTCTGCGCCGAGTTCAACGTCCAGGACTCGCGCGGCTGCACGCCCCTCATGGTCGCCGTGGCGGTCAACTCGTACCCCGTCGTCGAGCTGCTGCTCAAGATGGGCGCCTTCGTCAACGCGAGCGACAAGAGCCGCGCGACGCCGCTGCACGTCGCGGCCGACAAGGGGTCCGTCCCCATCACGAAGCTGCTGATCGCGCGCGGCGCCGCCCTCAACGCCCGGGACGCCTGCAAGCGGACGCCGCTCAACATCGCCTCGTACAGGGGCCACGCCGGCGTCGTCGACTACCTCCTCGAGAAGGGCGCCGACTTCTCCATCGCCGACCGGGACGGCAACACGCCGTTCATGCTCGCCACGCACAAGCAGCCCGTCGTGTTCGAGCTCCTCTTGAGGAAGGGGGCTAATGTTAAGGTTACGGGGCTCAGGGGGAGGATGCAGCGGTACCTGAAGATCTCGACGTACTAGAGATCAATTTCTTCTTTATTACTTTTGTTTTTTTCTATGTCTATTTGTATTTGGATTCGGGGCTTAGGGGATTGGATTTCGGGAAGGAAAGGACATGGCAACGCATTGGATACCTGGATACGGGGCGTTTATGATACCCACCGCTTGGGGGAGTCTGTCTAGATACGAGACATTAGGAATGACATGCTGATTCTCTTTTTCTGTGAGCACACTTGATCTCTGCGTTTTGCCTCACGCACCTATCCATCTCTCTATCCCGAGCGCCACAGTGATTCCAGTCCATTTCAATTAGGTCGGTAATGGATACTTGGCGGGCTACGGTCGGTATGGTAGGGCAGTCAGCCGGGGAAGGTGCGTGCCTGCCTTCATGGTCAACTCTGTCACCACTGCGCATCCAAGCACCTCGCACCTACCTTACTTACCTTCAATAGGCGTGTAAGGGTCGCCTTGGACAATGGATAGAATCTTCTTCCTGCAACCTAGAAAATGTCATGTCTTGACCCTCCTTCTCAATTGAAGTAATTCTCTATTCCAGATATTGAATCATCGTCTAGAGTAAGCGCCTTCGCAACGACCATCCAATCCAATGATTCCCCTATGCCACCGTCCCATCTCGAACCAGAGTCCACCATGTTGGCTTTCGACGCTCCCGCACCCTCCATTGCCAAAGCAATAACGCTGCAGACAATTCCACAGCGTTGACTCGCCTGCGACCTTTGGCCCGTCGGCCTTCTACACGGGACCCTGCGGTGGATTGAACTCATGACTGCGGATGAGCAACGTTCCACTCGACAACTCGTAGAAGTGATTGCGCATTTCCACCACTTCTTGAGCTGCGTACGGGATCCAGCCATGATCCTCTGCGTCATAGGTGAATTTTAGCGATGCAGTGCGGAAACATGCCACGCAAGGGCTCGCTCTCGATCGCCCATGGCTCCCACGGTCGCGTAAATTACATCGATAGCAATGCAGAAATCGTGCAGCCAGCATGTTAATTCTGCGTCAAACGCTCTCTGTCGTCGCATCGTTTGCTTGTCTTAAATACTCAATCGCCTCATCAACGTTAGCTATCACCTTTGTTACCGAGTATCGCTCGGGAAGTGAACTTGCCAAATTGTGTTTTGAATCTGCATAATTAAGCCCACCTCTTGCCTCTGCGCCAATTGCCTGTCTTTGGACATTGATGGCTTCTCCAAGATGTTTTATCCCTCTCATCTGGGAGAGTTCACGCAGTAGAAATCACTGCGGTGCTCGGGTTCAATTGCGAACTTGGGAAAATCAGCAAACCAAGCACAACATCGTGCACATGTATCATTGAAACTCGCGTAGCTACCTTACAATTGCAATCAAAGCAACACCCTTTTCCAGATTGAGGACCTCAATGCCTTCAATATTCCACTCAGCCGATATCTTCAGGCCGATGCCATACTCCCCAACTCCAATTTTATGTTCCGTACATGTGCCAACTGGCTGTTCAAACCACACTAAAAGAAAGTCCATATCCGCAATGTCTGTCTTGAGACCATCATACTCGTAACTCCGTCATAATTCAGCAAACCAAGTATTCCTCACAAATTGTAGTCGAAGCGCGAACAAATAAAGAAAGCAAAGTCACCTCTGGAAATATGTAATGTAAACACGCCAAACGGGAGAGAAGAAAGTAGATGGATCTCGAGATATAGCAATGTAAACACGCCAAGCGAGAGAGAGGAAAGTAGAAGGAAAATCAGAACTCCTGGCCCTGGTGATACGGTGAGATGATCTGTGTGTTCTCTCCAAGATTCACCTAGCAATCTTGGATTTGCAAACCACTCATATCCTGGCGGAAGATGGGCTCTGACTTGGGCTCAATGGCAGGGGCTTTCTTGAGGTACTGGACTTGGTACGCCTTTCTACGGCGGATGACCTCCCAAGGCACCGGTAAGAAATCTCTCCTGGGGGAAGAAGCTAGGTGGATGCGTATGCCGTCGATGGTCATGCTGCATATCTTTGTATGATCTTCCCACTTGAACGGGACTGCTGTGTCTCCGCTGCTGCTGGCCTTCTCGTGTTTCTTGAAGACAGCGTGGCTAAGGCCGAGCAAGATGTAGGGGTCGGATCGTGGACTCCACCGGGGCTCCCACTTCATCCAGAGCTCGAAACCATCGCATGCTACGTATCGTAGGTTGGGCGCGGCTGCTAGGGTGGCTCCGACTCTCCACTGTTACGTGCGTGTTAGCTCTGTGCTCATGCGGTCGGGGTAGGATCAACTCACGGCTCTCTTGACATCGGGCGCAAAGTGGAATTCCTCGAGACCCTGTAGCTTGTCGATGAAAGTTTTGACTTCGTCCTCTGAAAGCTTTGGAAACTTGACATCCCGAGCGATCTCTCTGACGCCGGGCTCCCACTCAGTGTGTGTGAACTTCAAGACCTTGAGATTCTTATGTTTGATGACGGCTTCTATCAACGGAGGATAGAACTTGAGCATATGGTAGCCGGGAGGATTGGCAAACGCGTTGTAGTTCTGGACCTCTAGTCTGGTCAGAGTATCAAAGCATCCGATGAGGCGTGTCATGTCGGTAGTAGACAAGACTTCAGGTCCGTCAGTGGTCATAGCGAACCCCAACCACCCAACACACAAGCTTCTCAGCTGGACGCCGATACTTGCCCGGATTGGTGAACCTATGCCTCTCACAACAAGGTCGATGAAGTGGCGCTGTTCACTGTCCATGTGCTTGATGCTTAGTTCCTCTAGGTTGGCGAAGTCAACCATCCTTGGGACAACCCGCAGTAAGTCTGGATGAAACCCAGCGGTGCTCAGAGTGAGCTCCTTCAGGGCAGACAGAAGGGGGGATCGGTTCTCGCGAGAGGAAAGCTCACGAACCATTCTCCTCCAGGTATAGTCCTAGATACCCTCGAAGAATGGCTGCAGCTGCAGCCGCTTCAGTGTCTTGGCCGACTTTATGAGCATCGTGGGGATCGTGTGATCCCCGCATGCCATATCCCCGCCGAGGCTCAGATACGTCAGGTCTCTCAAGTGCCTCAAGTCCCGTAGACTGTCGGCTTTCTCATCGTTCCAGAGACCCACCTCCTTTAAGTTATTGAGGCGGTAGATTTGGGTTACCATAAAGCTAGCTTTCTGTTAGTACCGCGTCCCGTAAGCTTTGTGGAAGAATTAAGTCTTAGCTTCATACTCAGTGAGCTCGTCGCAATGGAATCCCTCTAAGGAGTCCATGTTGCTGAGTGCATACCCGACCCATCTTGTGGCCATCTCGATACGCTGAGGGTCCTCCAGCTTGGCTATCCCGCTGACAAGCAGCCTCTTCACGTGGACGGCACCCTCAGGGACTTTGAAGGCACGGAACCATGTATGGCGGTAGTCAGTCCTAAGGGATTGGAGCCCCAGGTTGTGGATGTGCGGCCGGAGGAGAAGTTGAAATTGGTCCCAGTCGCTGGGACCGAGGACTTGGACCGAGACGGTCCGGTAGAGCCTTGGCGTAGTTATACCACGCCACTTCCTGCTCACGGCGTTGAGCTTTGCCAGAGTTTTCAACTCCGGCACCTGTACTGTTAGCTTCCAGCCGGCTACGAAGTCACGAATTCTTTAAGCTCACATGGCCGATGATGATGCCAAGGATCTCCCCTGGCATCGTGGAGATGATGTCCTTGGCAGGGGCGGGCAGAAGAGGCAGAGGGGAAGACATGTTGCCGTTGGTTGGGGGTTGGTCTTCTCTGCTTATTGGGATGTTATGTTACACGAATGAATTTGGGATTGGCCTACGAGGGACTACATAGTGTGGGAAAAGCGGGGACCAGATACTAGTGATCTATTGGGGGGTGGGAAACAAGTCAAGACGCGTCCGGTCGAGTATTTGTTTATTATTGTGTTGAGAGACGAAGCAGAGGGGAGACGCGGGTGGGGGAAACACGCCTGTCACTGGGCAACGATTCAACCGTCAAGTACCTCCGTACCTGCATAGATTTGCTTCTTTCTCTACCTGCGGTATTGGCTATTATATTTTAATTCCATTATGTGTCATATGAAGAGGGTTGGGAAGTTCTTGAGAGGCTGATGCAGTAGTGCTCAAGTTGATACGTGGACAGCCGTTCAGCACTAACACTAGAAGAAAGCCCCGAGTCATCTTAGATGTGAAAGATTCGTACGACCAATAGATTTCGTCATTCAATTAAGTGAGGCGAGTAAATGAGGCGAGCAGTGGATTCAGGATGCATGGGCAACACGACTACCGTCCCAAATTCGGCCTCTATCAAATGTTATCGGGCCATTGTTGGCCATTCAGACGTTCAGAATGCTGCAAGTGTGTCATAGCAATGATAACCCGGGGTTGCACAGCATCAATAGTTTGAAGCCAACCGATCATCGGTGGGGTATTGAGGGGGGTGGTCGCCTTTGCTGCCCGACATGAGAGACCGAAGCAATGTTCTTATTGATCACCTATATGCACTATGATTCACAAGATGACGTGCACCCCTCTTGCATTAATCACCCCGCTTCTCGTTGCACATTTATTCTTCCTTTCCATTCTTCCTCGCCCAATCTTTGTGACTCTGTTTTATCAAACATTCATCTCGATTCAAAACAAACTAAGCTTTGTGACACTTGGTTCAAGCCGGTGATTGAAGCCTTTGATCGCTCACCCAATTCATCCACCCACGAAACTCTCCACTACCAACGAAAAAATGGTGGAACGTACCGACCCCAGCCCATCGGGATCCAGCCAGCAGTCGGGGCAGAGATCGCCCGAGTCTCAGGGACGCTCCAGAGACAGTCGGAGAGGCGGTCGAGCTTCTTGGAGGGAGGGACATTCATCAGGTCCCTACCACCAGAGACCACACCGTGCAGGCTCTGCCCAGTCGGGCCTGGCTACATCCTCGGCTGCGAATCAATATGATGAAGCTGTGGTTGTCACTGCCTCCAACGGTGATGCGGCAGCGCCAGCAGGAGCCCCGACTCCGCCGACCCGCGCCATGACCGACCTGAGACTCGACGAGGTCCCCTCAGCCTCGAACACCAACGTCCCGCAGCAAAACCTCTCGGGCGGCTCTGATCATGGCGACCGGCGTCAGGTTCAGGGGGCTCAGTCGTTCGATTCGTTCGATCACGGTCCTGTGACCTTTGTTATCTTTGCTAACCCAAACGGACCCCCACCCGAGGTAGACTATAGCCATCTCCGTGGTGGCCCACCACCAGATGAATATGGCATTACATGCTATGGTTATCGAGATAGCTCTGGTTGCTATAGAGAGTACCACGCCCCAAACGAGGCCAACGGCACCGTTCGCTTTATTGGTGGCCACCAGTCTCGTCGATCTGATACCTTGGTTCAAGACTTCGGGTATCCCGCTGGCAATGCTCAGCGCCATCTGGAAGCGGATGACCAGAGAGATGCATAGCCCGTTTGTCACTCGCAATTAGGCCGGGACAGGTAAAGACTAAGACTATTGATGATTGGGTAACACTGCAAATGCACTTCATGGCTATCCGACGAGGCTTTGACGATGGATTCCTCTTTGAACTTTGGTGCTCTATTTTAATGTTGTCTATCTGTGGGAGCTGTTGGATCTGACAAGCATATGCCTGTGCAAGCCTCTCATAGTTATCCATAATTAGTTTATGAATTTAACAGTACGCTCTTCTTAATTCATGACACTGACTTTGTGCTTCATGGCATGATGTCAAATATCGATTGCTCAATATCAGTAGACTCCATTCTTGAAGTCCAGCGGGATCAACTAGCACACTTCGAGAATGAAAGCCTCCAGCGAAGACCAGCTCACCCGGAGGATTATCGCGTCACAGGGGCTAATCAAAAACAATTCGTATCACACCAAGTGGTATTTGTAAATGCTACCTCTTAATCCCTGATGGCTGCAAGAGCCCAGCTGCTGAGTTGGCCTCCAATCGTCCGGTCGCAGCCCCTGCATTTCAATTGATTGTGCATGTGGAAACAATAGGAGCTACCTTACCCCACACCACCAATACTACAATGCCAGCTGGCTGATTGCTCCGGCGAAGGTGATTCGTCGGTACTCCCTAGCTGCCTTTTGCAATTGTTTCTGCATCAAAGCCTCGGGCAGTGTCTCTCAAAATAGGTGTGATTGATGTGATGTGATGTGAATGGGATGATTAGAGTCGCGGTGCTAGTGTGCTACAGGGTCTGGGGTAATGGGTCCAGCATCGGGAGCAGTGGAGCACCCGCTTAAAGCCGGTGGAGCATCCCCTAAAGGCCGGTGGAGAGTTTTCTCCCACCTCGCACAGGCAGCCAACAATCCGACCGTAGAGTAGGGGTGTGAGGTAAGAAACGCATAATCCAGTGCTGGGCGCTATGAGGCAATTTACTCGGATCAAGGAGACCCGGTTCATGATCTGGTTCGCAGGCCTGTTCTCGTGTGGGTGCCTACCCATATTTTTCGGGTGATCGGAAACTCCCCGCCCCTTGGCAATGCTGAACAGCGAATCCCTCCACTTAACAGTTTATTATTAGCTAAAGGCGGGAGCTAGCTAGCGAGCACTGTGCGGCGAGAAACAGACTGCACCGGTCGGAAGAATGAATGACGCTCGTCGGGATGGATGGCACAAGCGGGCACTAACACAAGCGCTAAATCAGCTCCCGAAGCTCTGGGCACCCAATCTGGCCCAGTCTGGTGCTACCAAGTGCCGAGCTATAAGAAACCCGTCAGGTCGGGCGCCCATTGAGACAGAGCTCCAGGTTTTTTGCCAACGCTCCCCCTTACTTAGCTCCGCGAAGTAGCTGCCAGCCCACGGTGCTCCTTCTCCGTTGATCGCCTCTCCCGCAAAATGGTCGAGGACGCCTACTCAAAAATGGACAAGGACGGGTACTCAAAAACAGACGAAGGCGACTCCTACGAGGACGAAGTTTACAACGGCTACCCAACAATTGACGAGGCCGACGTGCCTCTAACACCCGACTGGCTAGAGGACCCGCTCACCCTGGATGATGTCAACAAAAGGCTTCCGGAAGATTGGGTCGACGACCCCGAAATCATCGCCGATGATAATGACAACCGCAACGAGGACGATCGAGAGATAATCGAAAACGACCCCGATCTATTTCGCTATCCTCTCCTCAATACCGAACTCAAATCCATGTTTTATTCCCTGCCCATGCCAAACGCTGGTTGGCGATACAAGCACGAATTCGCTCAAGACATACGAAGACTGTACAGCTACATCGACACCCACCCCGACTTCAGCAAGCGAGTTTACGAATATCTGCGCGGCGACGGCCACGGTACGGGACCCGCGCGCCAATCCATCATCATCCGACATTATATCAAGAAGCGGTGGGAACGTCTAGGCGTCTGGAACCCTGTCTGGGGTATCCCTGGCCGTCTCAACCCGGGATGGAGGGAAGCATTCTGCTGTTGGAAGTTCAGGTGGGAGCCCCTATTTTATTACAACCTCGACCCAGACCACCCTATTCGCCGTGCGCTTCGGCTTCGTCAAGGGCTTGTACAGGGACAGGTCGGCCCCCGCCACCCACACGCCGCCCTCGCCAGTGATGCTTCACCCCGTGAGGCGGAAGCCTTCCTGACATCTCGGCCATTCTTCATGCTGAGACTCGAGGAGGCCGATGAGCTACAGCGCATGGGTCGGAGCGTGGAGGAGTGGGATCTCCGCAAGGTCGTCAGGGAGCGTTGGTATGAAAGGAACGACTGGAAGGAGGAGTGGAACGACCGTGATGCAAAGGGTTGTTGTCTTCCTGGCTGGACGTGGCCCCACGAGAATCCCGATTCAGATGCCCCCCCCTGGGAGGAGCTCAATTCGCTAGAGGATATTGACTTTACTCCTTCCGAGGTCGACGCTCTGGAGGAAACTGTCGGATTCGACCCCCAGGCCAGGGCGGAAGAGATGAGATTGCAGGCTGAGAGATTGCAGGCCACCAGATGGGAGGCTATGAGACGGGAGGCTATGAGACGGGGTGGGCTATGAGATAGGAGGCACCGATCGTGCCTCCTTTTTGCCTACCACATCCTGATCAGAGGTTCATTGTACCCACGGAAACTTTGCAATCCATGCCGCAGCAACCCCGAATAATGGTCGGGTGCAGACTTGGCTGGGTGACTTGCCCCCCCGTGAACCCCGACTACTTGACCGGAAGAGTTTAGACCTGGTTGGCCATCAGGATCTCGGAACAGAACCTAGTGAAGCGCACCTCGGGCCGTGCCTGGCGTCGTTGACTAATGAGCTTATGATTATGGATGCCAGGTCTGGCATATTCTGTTGCTGTCTTTCTTTTCTTTTCTGTGTGAGTCGAGTTACTCGAAGTCTCACATAACGAACTCATGACGGTTTCATTTCTTTGGAATTAAGCGATCATGATCGGCCACGGCGCTCGCGTTCGTGGCAACCGATGTATGTTTCCAGATTGCTCTAGGTCGCATCCCATCCTGTTCCTTTCCTTATGGTTGTCTTTTACGTTAGGTACGGTCACTTTCACTGCGCTATGCTAGCACGAGGTATTATATTCTTGGCTTCGCTAGCAAGCAGAGATGAGATAGCAATTGATTTTTCTTTGATGACTCTCAGTATCTCAACCCCACGAGCGGCGATCCAGCACGAATGAGATTAAGAATGCCCAGCGCCGTGAGTTAATTTGCCGTAATTCCAGATTTACAGTACGTCCATCTACCACAGTTCCGTCCCTTTAGATAGGTTTTGACCTGGTTCATAAATACACCAGCATTAAGTGCCTTACGAATGGTCAGAACGCTCCCTCCACGCTACTCTTGGGCCCTCATGGAAGGACCTTTGGTCTTTCTCTATCTTCTGTACGTACTCAAGTAGTGTTTCCAATTCGTCGATTGGGAGGAGCTGCGTGACTTCGCGAATGAATGTCAGGCTCGACCTCAAAAAGCTGCTGCAGTTGCTTCATGCCGCGCTTTGGGTTGGGATGATGCTTGATATGGGTATCCATAGCCTTTTGAAGGTCTTCTATTGTGAAATTTTCCATTATGAATCAAGTGCGCGTGCGTGAGGTAGAATTTTGTTCGTTTGTTTCGGCTGTGCGACCGTGGTCCGGCTTCTAAAGGGCGATGGTGAAGGCGTCACTGCCGCTTTCTCTTCGTCACGGGGCTTCTATACCGACTCCAGCCAGTGCTCGATCCTGTTGTGGACTGGGGCAACCAATGATGGTTGGTTATCGTCGTCGCCGCCATCGTCGCCATCGTCGTCGCCAACCGGGAGCTCGGGATAGCTGGCTACTTATGATACTGATCCCACACAAATCCATGGAACTATGGTTTTGCTGTCCGCGATTCTGGGTCTGTTACTGTTTGTATATCGCGCTTGCTGTGCCAAATTCCGCTTGATTTAGTCCCGGTACGTATGCTGGGTCGGTTTTTCTGTGGTCGCCGCGATCATCTGGTCAAGTATTGGCAAAATAGTTATCGACCTTTGGGAAACACTGAATCAATATCTGGTGCAGCTAGTTGTCTCGAAGCGTACTGCCCTGATGTATAAGATGTACATGTCGGCTCCGTCTGGGCCACGTGATTTCCCTTAGATGCTAAGTCTGTTCTTGCTCTACCTGTCCACTGGGCAAGGTGGCACCTGCCTGGAAGCTTGCTACCTCCTTCCATGTAGGCAGGTGGCGAAACACAGTACGTGTCCGGGTCTAAGTTGGCATCTTTCCATTTGTTTCCCCTCTCCTCTCCCTCTTCTTCTTCTTCTTCTTTCAACAGCATTCGTATTTCATTCTTACCATCCTTACGCGATCCTTATCTATCCTTATTCTGTTCTTAACCATAATCTCTACATTATAAATTCTCTGGGGAATGCTCAACAAACTGATCCTAACGAGCGTACCATAGATGGGTACACGGCTCCGAGCAGTCAAGAAGGCAGAGGCAACCCTACCCAGGGCTATCTGAACCAAAACCCAGTAGAGAAGCCGACGCTTATAAAGGAACTCTGCCTCCTTGGCTCCGGGCAGTCAAGGAGGCAGAGGCAGCCCTGGATAGGGCTGCCTGAACAGAACCCCAGAGGCGAAGCCGACGCTTACAAAGGCACTCGGGCTCCCTGGCTCCGTATGCAGGTACCCATCATTTATATCTAGCCATCCGGTGCTGCATGGTAAACTAACTTGACTATGCGCAGGCGAGCACCGACATGAGCCACCCGGAACAATCCGGCGGGCTACTCTGCGGTGGCCAAGGACTTTGACCTGGTCAGGCCCCAAAGCTGCGACCAACCTATGCTATGCTGCTTAAGCAACCTCGGCAGAGTATGTCTCTCTCTTGGATATGGGCGACCGCGGCTCTTGTGCATTGTACTGACCTTGCCACCCTGAGTCCAGTGACGCGAAGATGGGGTTGGGATGGGTTCTACCTACAGTGGGAGGTTGTCCTGGGAGACGGAAAGGGAGAATTTCTCGCGGAATCACATAAACAATTTAATAATTGATCCTTTTTCTTTTCCACACTATGCTAGGCCATCTTCAATTACTTGACTGTGAGGCAATGACGGCGAACTTTGAGTACATCCAGAAAATCAACCGGACACGCCACGTCTCCATACAGTCACTTCCTGGAGACGACAATCTCTGGCCCTTCCAGTGGAGCCAAAGTTGTGGCCTACCAAGTAGCTTCTGATGGAAGCACAGATGACTCCTACTGTATCAGGATGTGGAGGGATTTAATAATGACTTGACCTTGGACACGAGGAACACCCACCACTACAACCTCACTTTTTTTTCTCTAACATTGGCATATAAGTGCTCTGGCCAAGGGGCTACTGGTACTCACTGCGTTGCCTCGAGCTTGGTTGAAGTGTCTGGATTGGTGGAAGAATGCTAAGCATCGTGAGCAGCGCAAACACGCCTCGATGTCAAGACTCAACGAGAGCAAGGCCTAAGGCAAAATCTCGAACACCAGCGCCGCAAGATGGGACGGATTACGGCTCGGATGGACAAGGCGGACGTGACCAAGTCCCCTCGTTGGCGGACGCCGCGAGGACGAAACGAGGCAAGGTACAAGTAATGGGCAGCATCAAGGCGGAGCTAGAGGTACAGGAGTTGGCCGTCCAGAGATTGGAGACACTACATCTTGAAGTACGGGAGGAGCGGGAGCAGTGAGAGGCTTGGAGCAAGACTTACGTGATCCGTGACCTTGAGAGCTTTGTTTGTTTGTTTGTTAGTTTACTGGCGGAACCTTAGCAGGTTCGTATGAAGCCATCGCCAGGGCCTTGAGGAGCCAAGAATAAACCCTCCTCCGCAAACGAATAGTATGACCAGTCCTGGTGCGAGCCCAGGTACGTAGAATCTTCTCTCCCACACCGCCATTGATCCAAAGACCCAAGAGGAGAGCCTAGAGAGGCCAGCAGGAAGCCAACCAGTGGTACGTGGGCATTCCCCTCGAGCAAGACGCTGGACGTCAGCCTTGTATGCTTCGCCGTCGCGGACCTTCCTCGCAACCAACTCCGCTCGACGGGGATCCCTCCCCATGAACTCTACAACGCGCTCCTGTAAATCTTCTGGGTTCCCCTGGTAATGCATGAACCAGTCGACATGCATCCAGCTCTCCAAGGCGTTGGCGACGAGGAAACCCTGCCTCTCCTGCGCGCTCTCCCACTCGTCTGCGAGGATCGTGTTGCCGTACGCATCGAGCTCCCTCTGACGGAGGACGACGAGGAAGTCTTCAAATAATTCGAGGAAGTGGTCGTAGAATATGGGCCGGGAGAGCAGCGTCAAATCGGGGTACTGCAGCCATAGCGGGGGCTTGAAGAATTGACGTGGGACGACGCGGCTCCATTCCCAGTCCAAGACACTAACGATGCTCCCTTGGTCGTCAATAAGAAGATTGAACGGCTGGAAGTCTCCATGAACCAGCACGAAAGGACCACGATCATCATCTTCAGCCCGCCAATCCTCTACGAGCTCGCGGAAGCTGTGAAGATGATAGAGATATTCCTCGCCTATGCCATCACCCTCGGGGACGCTGCTCCGGCTCTGGGCGAAAGCGTTGTCCGCAAGATCATGCAGCATGTCAATGTAGTCGCCGGCAGATCGTAACGGGCCCCCTCCGCCGTATCGGGCGAGGACCTGTGACGGCTGCAAGCGCTCCAGTGCCTGCGCATTTATGTCGATTGTTGCAATCGGGCGGTCGACGGTAAAGCTGCCGTCTTCTCGGTGCGTCAGGCGGCCGATGGCGTCCATTTCTAACCTCCTGAGCTGGATGAAGATGTCGGCTAGGGAGACGTAGAACTGTAACAGTTGTTCCTGTGTGAATTCTTCGTATGTCTTGTGCGTGAGCTTCTCCCCTTCCATGTACTCGAGGATCATGAACGTTGGGAAAGTCTTGGACGTATCGTCGATAGCGTATGCGATTACTTGAGGTATGGGGATCGACGTCCGTTCGTACACTAGCCTATGAGACCCTTGACTGTCAGCATCGTGTTGTATATAGTTCCTCGAGGCTTTTCCATTCTGCTCACTCCATAGCGGCTATCTCGCCTTCTAGCTTCTTGCCGGCCCCAAACGGTAGGCATGGGGCCAACGGAATCCGCACAACCCATTTATCCCATGCTCCCGAAGGTGAAGACCGAGGAAAGCGAATGAAATAGCAGATATTATAGCTCCCACGGAGGGAATCTTGGAAGAACTCGCCGTCGGATTGGCTGGGGTGGTATGAGGCGGCGAGTCGGCGAACGTCGTCTAGGCGGATAGACTCGATGAACTTGTCGCGGGTGTCCCGCAGCTCCTTCTCGATGATTACATCTTGGAGATGAGTGGGGTTGTTATAGGCTGTTTCAGCCATTCTGGCAAATAATCGTGACCAGCACGGGGAGTAAGTATTATGTCGAGGCGAGCACTCGTGAGGAGGCCAGATTTGATACCTTGGAACAAAGATTTTCCGAGCACAGCGTCATTTTTTAGTGAAACTAACTGACATAGCCAAATTGGGCTCCCGTCCCCTGTCATGTGATCTACAGCGACTGACATTTCGGGCCACGGGTACTAATCAAGGACCGGCCTCGGACCGGATATCTAGCTTAAATGTGGCTTTTTACGGAAGAGCGTATGGAGAAAGTACCTGTATTTAAAATATCCAATGGTGCTTAATGCTCTTATGCCATCATTCCACGTTTTAAATGAATATCCCCGATCAAAATCCGCCACTCTCCTTCTTAGCTTATCCATTCTCCCCTGACCCACCTGTTAAGCATATCTAAAGAACCAACCGGCTGATGAGTTGGCACATAATGACCTGCCTGGAATATTTGAATAAAGGCGAAGTTGTCCGCAACGGTGAGATTGCCATAGTGTTCATCGCCGACGTACAACGCTTGCGCCTGGGCGCTGTTAACGGCTTCATGCCCAGGCCAGTCCAGCGCCTTGTACCACGCTCGGTTTCCAAGCCAATTGCAGATGTAGTCTGCATCGCCAGCGTAGATGAGCACCGGGATTTTGGCCAGGATGTCCGGGATGAGGCGGTGCATTGGCTGCATCCAGTCACCCGACCAGAGGAACTCCAGGTACACCGTAGTATCACACTGTTCAAAGCCGTCCACCTCAACGCCCAGGGCTTCAATGACCTCGGGCTTGTTCAGCCACTCGTCAATACCGGAGTCGAGCGCGGGTTGGTTCGGCCGGACATCATACAAGTCAGCGCCGGTGGATGAGTAAGGCGTTATAAAGAGGCCGTTGCAAAGAGAGAAAGCATTTCTGCACGCAGCGCTAGAGCCCCCATCGTAACACTTCTGGATACTCTCCTGGCACTGAGGCAAGTTAGACTCCATGGCTTGGCAGGCTTGCTCAGAGAGCACCGCATCGTAGCCTCCCTCTCCGCAGCCCATGGGACGGAAGTAGGCGTATTGTGTCAGAGCATCGGTCAAGCCATTGCCGACTAGAATGCTCTTCAAGTTGATTATTGTGTCCGGCTCGGAGATGATTTTGTGTCCGATGCTGGGAACATAGTGCCCTGCGTATGACTCCCCAGCAATGTGGAAGTCTTGGGTCGAGTATTCCGGAAACTCAGTGAAGAAGAGTGTGAGCAGAGCGTAGAGATCATAGGCCGCAGCGAGGCTGCTCGTGGTCTCGTTCTTATTGGTATATGAGAACCCTGTGTTCACCGGTTGGTCGATGAAAATAACAGAGGCGTTATTGTTCCAAGCGTGAGGGTTGTGGACGATGGTAAGATTGGATAAGACCCGGGAAGGGCCGAGTTCATCAAAGAGACCAATCATAGAAGAGCATCCTGGCCCTCCGTTAAGCCAAAGCTGCGGTTTAGTTAGTATAATTGATTATGGCGGGTTTGAAATTCCAACGCATCGTGCGAGGGCGACTCACCACAACGGGATCAGTCGAGGGATCATTTCTCGATTCAAAGAACCCTAGTGATTTTAGTCAATTCTTTCCCATTCTGAGTAAATTTTCCGCAGTCCCTTACAGTAAAATAGATGTTTGTCCTCTGCCTCATTGTCCAGATACCCGCTGTATTGCTTTACTGTATCAATCCCAAGGCTGCTGGGATCGACAGCTTTTGCACGCATGTTGAAATTTCCAAGCTCACTGCTCTCCTGATCCCGCGCTGCGTGCATAGAATCGACTACATCGCTGCCCTTGATTATATGGTCCCAGAAGTCATCTGGTCTTTGGCGCACACGACTGTTGGCCTCATTGCTGGCTGCAGCGGAAAAGGCTGCCGCAAGGGCAACGATTTCAAACAGAATCCGCATGGTATTTACTGTTGTTTATCTCTACTAACCACATCTCCAGCAATCTATTTATGAGATGAAGCGATATTTAACTAAACATCGCGGTGCGTTCCCTAACAGACCCTGTCCTCGTCTTAATCGCAAGACCCTGGCGACGTTACAGTATGATTGTGACCTTCCTGAACCAGCATGTTCACCGAACTAAATGCTCAACAAAACTGGAATCGTAGTCCGCTACTTTGAACTGATTTCTATCTAGTGACAATGGCGTGTCTATCCGTGCCAAACAGAGCAATTCGCCAAGACCGTATATGCCGATTTCAGGAGACACTGTCACCGCTAATCTCGGCTTTTGATCTCTATTTAGATGGTATGTCGGATGGCCTCACTCTCTCGTGGCAACGGCTCATTGAGGCTCAAACAAAGTACAGCGCAGGTCTAGGAATGGTGTTATTTTCCGGTCTCAGAGATAAGGGAGAAATCATCGGAGCAAATGACGAGATATTCGTTAGGCTTGTCTCCAATGCAGTCATCCACTGTCGCGCTCAAAACCAACAATTGCTGAAAGAGCAGATCTTAAATTTCCAACCCCAGCATGATTTGGGAGGTACCTTGCTCAAATTTAGCTGATATACTGGACATCCATTGTGAGAGGAACAGGAGCCCAGGGTATACCAGTAGATACCGCTCTCACACTTCATGATTCAATTGGAGAAACTCCACGCTTGCTATCTGTAGTTTCGCGTGACATCGAATTTCTACATTGCATAGTCTTTCATGACATGGATATTCAGTCATCAATACCCTTTCATTAATTTTAATCCTGGTTGTGGACTACTGTGCCTAGTAACAGTACTCCCAGAGCTTTTCCTCGATAGCCAACTCCTTTTGAAAATCACCAAAGTCTTCGAAAACCTCGTCAATAGCTCGCAGCCAGCGTCTCCGTATTTTCGTGCCATAGTACGCCTTGGTATAGTCCCAATATTCTGGAAACCACCCAGAGTTCTCCCAGTCAACAATTCCGGAGAGCCTGCCATTAGACACCAGAATATTTCGCAAGTTCAGGTCTCCATGGGTGAAAGTGATGTTGTGGTCGCTGCAATGCAGCACGTTGGGCAGCGATGCGACCTCGAGGATCTTATTGAAGTCCTCTTCGGTGGGAAACGGACCAGCAAACAGCCGGTTTCGCTCGCCCTCCTGGTTCATGCTTGCGATGATTCGATAATCGTAGCATGCCTTCCCTATTGCATTTGTGATGGCATATTCGGGTAGGGCCTCCTTTGGGATTGCCCTAAGCTCTCGGAGATACTCCCGCAAGTCGCACACCAAGTCACACAACTCATCATCACTGAGTGCGTCAAGGCACATGCCAAGGCGATGGCCTGGAATCTGTGACGTCAACATGTAAGATGTGGTGCGATCGGAAACCAAGTCCAAGGGGCAAGGAACTGGTACTTGGGTATGCTCTCGCACCAGCAGTAAGGCACCATACTCGTTCGCTAGTCCCTGGTGGTGGTCGCCGCACAACGTTTTGAGGTACATGCCAAACGGAAGCTGCTGAACGCTTGAGCTGCAGGTCGAACCATACAGCCGACCGCCCAACACCCGCAAGCCTCGGTATGCCCTTGTTCGCAGGCGAGCGGGCATCAGGCGCCATGCTGTGCCCAAGGTCATAGCAACGTTGTCCGAGAGGCGGTAGAAGCATTTCGAAGAAGCTCTCTTGCTTGTTGGCCGTGACAACTTTCCAGAAATTTCTCGAGCAACAAAGGTCCATCGCACTGCTTTGGCGAAGCGCGTTAAGACTTGTAGTGAACAAATGTCTGGCAGCTCTATTCCAGAGGATGAATGGTCGGAGAGCCGACAGCGACGAACGGGTGCCATCTTATCAAGAATGGAAGGCCACTCTGGACCTCCAATATTATTCACCGTAGTGTAATACTGCATTTTCATCAGTTAAGCCTCCAAATTATACATGCCAGGGAAGCTCACCTCAAGCTCTTTAATCCATGTAAAGCGAAAATATCCTCGGGATGAGGCTCTCGCAGCTGATTTCCGAACGAGCCAGTGATCTCGACAGGCGATTGCTTTAACAGATGTTATATGAGTTGATGCATCTCGGCCGACAAAAACGGCAAGCAGCTCATGGAGAGACTAGATCAGCGTAAGTGAACGAATACTATAAAAAAAGCAGGCGTCGGTATGAAAAAGGACGCGCCTACTTCTTTGATTGGCCTCTTTATCGGCAGAATCGGTGCGACAACGAGGGGATCGAAGAATGAGCCATCTCTTGCAGTGATACAACACTTTCCACCATCTCTACTATTGACGTCGGCAACGATATTAGAGTCAGCAAGCTCCCTTGGTGGATCCTCAAATACAACTAAGATATAATATATTAGTACGCATCAGGTGATGATAGGTTTGATAGTGCGATACTCACAAGATCCAACCAAATCTTTCCAATCAGATAAAAAAGGCTTGAAATCATAGCGGTTCCCCTCAATATAAGATTGCTGGAGCAGGTAGTACGCAGCTTCTTGGGGTTCAGGCGCATCTTGCAGGAAACATTCAAGTAGCATGTCATCTGGATGCTGCAGCCGGGCGATTTTGATGGCTTCGAGTGCCCGGCCGACATTGTTGGTAGCCTCATCCGCCATCCCCAAATGCCTGAGCTGGAAACCCGCATGCAGGATGAGGTGGATGATTGGAAAGTGAACTGGGAAAGTTGGTTTGGGTCGTAGCTGCCCAGGTGGCGGCTTCCCCAACGCTTAGTCATCGCTAACAGTGACGCCGTGAATCACTGGTCAGAACACCGTCCAAGGCAACGTATTTATGCGAGAATAAGCAGCTTCAATCTTCACCGACAGACACTCTCACGCTCTCTCGTTACCCGAAGTTTGAAGATGGACGGGCTAGTGAAGCTATCGCAAGCGTACTTCGACAGCGCCTATGGATTCCGAGTCTCCCAGGCGCCGATTGAGCACGCCACTCTCGAGATCTCCATCTCTGCGACAGACCCAAAGGGCACAACTCACCAAACCACCGTTTTGGTCTCAACCGTGTCCGAGAGCGACTTGGCATCGTGGGCTACGGCGGATGGGGGTTCTGATAGCACACCTTGTGAGGCACGTCTCAAGCTAATTCGAATTGACCAGATACACGACGAGATCCCAAATATATCAAAAGCAGCCTTCCGTTCCCTAACAAATGCCATGGGGGTTCATCCTGCAGCATTGTACATGGTGTGCAGGAAATACGACGGCTTCCACACATACAAAGGCCCTGGTTCGTCACACACCTGGTTCTTCGGGTCCAGCACACATGCGATATTGTGGTGTTATTCCCCGTCAAGAAGACAGACTGTCGGGGTGTTTATGGAACGTATACAGGCGAACTTTCAGGATTTCTGCCGCGTCTTATCCGCCTTCTCTGAGAACATTCACGCTCCTCAAGTACTGTTCCTCAGCAGCGCCATTCACCAGCAGCACAATTTCGATGTTGGGACGGCCTCGGAGCTTGGAGTTATCCAGAGAATCGAGCAGCAAACCGGATTCGGCCCCTCTGCCGTCAAAGGCTATGCCTTGATCAAGTCGGAGCCGACCGCCAAGATGGTTCGCGCAGAAATTGACGAGTTGACCGTCTGGTCGCAAGCAGTTGGCGAGATAGGCGTCAATTGTTCAAACAGGGGTCGCAACCATCGTACATTCTGGAGAATGCTAGCCGCACTAAGGCAAGACCAAGAGGATTCAGAGACCCTAGGACTCCCTCAAGGCCCAGCCATGGAGAGATACAAAGCAAGCTTGCGAGAATTGTGTGACGTTCTGCCTACAGTCGAACGACAATTGGAAACATACGACGAGTACATTTTGTATTTGAAGGATCGGACAGAGAGACTGTCTTCCGTGGTAAGTTGAAAGCGCATGCGAGAGTCTACTGTGAACTAGTACGCTAATGGTCCTGCAGCTCTTCACATTGCTCACCCATGTGGATGCTCGAGCTGGTATAGGCCTAGCATCGGCGGCAAAGCGTGATAGCTCGTCTATGAAGACTGTAGCTATCATGACGATGGCTTTTCTGCCTGCTACGTTCTTCGCTGCCCTGTTTGCAATGCCACTTCTCGAGTGGGATGGATCACACATGGTTCAGAAAGGATTCTGGGTGTATTTGGCTTGTACGATACCCGTCACTCTCCTCGTCTTTGCCTTATGGCTGGGTATTATTGAAAGAAGATGGATCCTTGGTGGAACGGGTAGCCCCAAGGGTTTCAAGCACGAGTGACTTTTTCAAGCTGAGTCAACAGGATTTGGATATCCGGCAAGGACCACAGCAGCGGTAAGGATGATATACATCTATATCGATATTCTCTGTGAGTGACGAGCGTCCGAAATATATCAACATTAGGACGAATGGTGGCCTAACCCAATCTAGTCCTTGATTAACCAGCACACCGCGAGTAAAACTAGGCCGATCTTGAGAATTATGCATCCTCGACACGGAGAGTGTGTATGATGGTGCCTTGCCATGCCTGCTTTGGGAAAAGAATCCTTTTTTCACTTGGTCAATCATCATTCAAAGCACCGACAACACCTTCAGAACACAAAAGTGGACAACGAAGTTAGAATTCATCTGATCTATTCTTTGACATATAAGATCCACCATTTCATTTGTCACCATTTACTCTGCGGTCACACGGTCACTAGGGCGGCTGTTGTAATGTTACAAAGAGACACTCTAAGACACCGAGTGTTCCCCGTTCGAGCTGCTTCAAGAATTCGATTCAAAATGTACTATTATTCACAGCTCGACAAAAGATGGCCAAAGATTTCAACTCCACCCCCGTGTTCTTCGACGCCTCCAGAAGCCGCTTCTCTCTCCAATCTCACCAAATCATCCCAAGTTGAATCCTCATCTACTGGCACCTGGTGGTCAAATCGGCGAGCCTGTTCTCGCGCCAATACCACAGTCCGGCCCAAACTGCACCAGGTCCAACCAAGAACTGGCCTGCGATGGTGCTAGCTCCAGCAATGAGAGCCTCTCTGGTCTCGACATAGCCGAGGCGGCGCAGATCCCAAATGCTGTAGAGGCCACTTGCGAACGAAGCTGCCGAGGCCAACAACATATCATATTTGAAGAAAACGCCGAGCTTGGCGCCGACAGTGGGCAGGTTCCAGTCTGGCTTGAATGGGTTCGGGACTTGGAAGAATGTCTTAAAAATGGAAAGCTCAGGGTGAGCCCAAGCATACAACATCGACGCAATGTGAACCGTCGCCTGCGCTGCGAATGCATAAGTATATACCGAGTTCAAGATCGGCACATCCTTGTTCTTGTAGCGCTCAAGACCATCCTTCTCGTCCTCCTCACTCTTTCCGGTGCCACGCTGGTAGCTTTTCAGAAGAGATGAAATTCCTCGGGTGAGGAGGCCGACAAGGGGCGGCGCGAATTGCCAAAGAGCAAGCGCGTGCTGCCACGCCACTGTATTCGGCGTCCGTGCAAAAACCATGACTGTTGGAATAACGTATCCGAGTGTGATGGCAGGTATCAAAGCCTTCGCTATCTCCACGGGCACATGACGCCCTGTGGGACGCTCGTGGGTAAATACAGCCTGCAGGGCTGCGTGGAGGGGACCGATGCGGCCGATGCCTTGGACTTGCATACCAAATGAATAGAGGAGATCCAGGGCCAGAGGGGTGCCCTTATTACCAACACGGTTCGCCTCGATGGTGTAAATCAGGAGTGGTGATACCAGCTGGAACAAAAAGTTCACGGCCTGTAGCCTAGTGGCAGGACTATGGTCCACGAGAATTGCCAGGACGGATGCCGGGCTGTTCAGGAAGTCCGAGGCTTTAGTCTGACCGAACCAACGGATGACGATGGGTTCCTCAGCCGCCCATTTGGCGATTTCGTCAAAGGGGAGGCGGAAAGCTCTAGCGCTAATGAGAATCAAGGCAGCCATGGATGCGACCTGTCCACCTCTCACAAGCCATGATACCGAGTTCTCCTCGATTGGGGCAGCTAGAAGCTCGTCGTTGTATGGGATTAGGCGCGGCCGCTTCGGAACTGGCAGTGTCTTTATTCGAGTACCGCCCAGTAGGACGCTTCCCATCATACACAGAACCGATTCAGGGCCAGCAAGGGGACCGAGATGCTCCAGCAACACGGTAGAAAGCAAGGGGTTCTCATAAGCATTGAGGACCTGCATCTTGTGTGCCAAAGCGACGATTTCCTTTGCTCTTTTGTACCTTGCATTTTGCATTTTCGCAAAGACTTCTTCAATCTCCTTTGTTGTTAGGTTACTCAAAGTATCGCTCCTGTTCTTCTTTGTCTCAAGCAGAGCGTTGATGAGCTCAGCACAAGACTCGATAGCGCCATTGCCTCCTTGGCCGCCGATTGGGTTTGGCTGATGAGTCAAGATTAGTTTCCTTTACAACAAAAATACTCAAAGGCGACGGGGCGACGCAGTGCATACCTTGTGGGCTGAGTCACCAAAGGTTATGAACCTTCTGAAGAACCACTTCTTGTATGTAACCTCGTGCAGAGGCGTGAGTGTCGAAGTCAATCGGCAGGCAAAGACTTGCCCAAACGTGATGCTCTCGGTGATTGGGAGGTTGGCGTTGTGATTCACAAAGTCTTCTTCGTCCTTCTTCGAATACCTCGGGATATCTTTACCATGTCGAGGTTCAGGAAGCTTTTCGAACAGAAACCAATACACGCGGTTATCAGGTCCTGAGACGACGAGTTGAGATCTCTCCGGGCCAGTGACGATGTGCTGCTCACCGCCAACCCAGTTGGGCACATCAACGGCGATTCCAAAGCTGCACTTATAGTAGCACGGAACCTCGTCTTCCTCCTTCTCATCAAAGACGCCGGGCTCATACTTGTTTCCCCAGCTTCTCATAACAGTGCGAACCTTGCTATGGATGCCGTCTGCGCCGATGAGAAACGTTCCCCGGTAGGTAGAGCCGTTGGTGCAGACAGCAGTGACGCCTTCGTCATCTAGCTCAGCCGCGCTGAACTTTTGCCCAGTCAAGATCTTGGATTTATCTTGGATGTTGTCGTATAGGATCTGCAACAGGACTTGCCGGTCAAAGAAGAGCAAGCCGTAGCCATGTCTGAAATGTTAACTCGTCCGAACTATCAGGACATGGAGACGGGGAGCATGCTTACCTCTTCTCTAAATGCTCGCTCATATTGCCTATGGTTGAAACGACCTTGCCAGCCTTATTTCTCGAGTGCGTTCTGGCGTAAGGGATATTTCCCTTGAAGACATCCTTGATCTCATCATGGATCCCGATCTGGTCGAGGATCCGAAGACCGTTAGGAAACAAGCCGATGCTTGCGCCGACTTGGGGCGCAATAGCCTCGTGTGACTCGAGGAGGACGTAGTCAAGGCCGAATCTCTCGAGCATGTTGGCGAGGGTGAGGCCGGCGATACCTCCACCGACAATGATGATCTTGAACTCGGTTGGCGACGACATGGTGCTGATAATGTTGATGGTATTATTGTTGATGCTATGGGAGGAAACCCAGTAAATGACAGGTACAAAAATTCAATCTAAGATTCTATATGCTAAACAATCGACGAAAAACCTACATTACCTGCGCGGTAGAGTGAAGGTTATGTATTAATTTGATCGCTTGATCGGAGGTCGCATGTCGCGAGTCGGCCAAAACGCCAAGCCGAGTGGCCGTGCTGGATCATGGCCAACCGGGCTGTTAAGCCACACCGATACGGGCCCGTCTTAAGGCAAAGACATTGAGCACCGGCCCTTGAAGGTAAATGGCCGGTGGCGCAATACGGGATCGGTCGACTAAAGGAATCGTGCCTGGTGTTGAGTACCCTGACTAAGCGGCATTGATGCTTCGACATAATCCCGTTAGACCAGGGCCACTACGGCATTGGGCGGATTGCAATGCCGAAGAGAGGGCAGGAGCAGGGGTTATTCAGCGCTAAGTAGAATTCAGTACAGTAGAAGCGAGGACGGGAATAAAATGGACCCCTCCAGGGTTGAAGCCAGGCTTGCCACGGGCAATGGCACTCAGCTCCAGTTCCAGTTGCGTTTTGCCTCGTCAGTGGCCTACCCTAAACTCACAACGACTGGTGGTAGTGCTGTTCTGATTGTACGGTACGTCCAAGTTTTTCTGATATTTCATGGGATATCCTCCTGCAGAAAACCCTCTGCTACTTGCCCTCGAGGTTTCACAAAATTGAATATTGAGGTTGGAGTGTTGGAAGTGTTAATTCTACTTAACCTTGTTCTAAAAGAACCGCTTTCAATTAACAGCCATTTTTCCCATCCGCCGACTGGGATGACTAAAATTTTGCTCGGCACCTGCACACATTGCAACATGATGGAATCACAGTACATAGATAGTCGCAAAGTAAAATAAAAATGATGAAACAATCGGAGATGATAAACTAATCTCGGGAGCAGTCACAAAGACTTTTCCCTGAGCTTTACACGTTTTTGTCAAGGGAATTGATTGAATGTACAGTTGCTCAATCGGTCACGCTCCAGGGGTCATCTTCGTGCAGCCACGGGTAAAGCTCGGGACGTGGAAATCAACACGACTTGTTCTCGGAACAATATCTGAGTAATCAGAAATCTTAAAAAAATGTGTTGAAAGACTCGAGGGATTCATCAAGAAGAAATGAAGGGAGCCCGAGTTTCTCCTTCCGGACATTGCGCGAAGGGCTGATGTTCTCAGGCATGCCGGCGCAGTGTACACTCGTGGGGGTGGGTCGTGACTGCCTGGCCTTACAGGTACAAATTCAGCTCTTGCACTCCTGGAACAGTTTCAATTGCCAGACGTTTGTACAGTTGACCAACTGCGCGAGGGCGTTGGTTCTAACTTTTAACACCACCTCTCGAATGCCTACTCGCTCTCTACTACCTTCTACACATAGGCACCGCAGACATCTGAAGATGGCCTGAAATTATTTTTTATTTGCGGGTTTGGATTCCAGCGCATATTTTTTTCCCGGTCAATTGCCCCCCACTTGTCTGAATTTGACGCGTGCGAGTCCAACATGGTAATGCTTATTTTGAGGGCACAGCCTCTCGACGACAAAGGTGTGTAACCGGTGGTGGAACGTGAATGGAGTTTGTCTTGTAGACGCTGTTATATTGGATCTTATGATTGGTAATTCTGGCTCACAAACAAACGCTGAACCGGTGAATGCTGGCTGAACAGACTAGTTACCATCAGACCTATCACCGAAGGAGATGGGGAATGACAGGAACGTGGAATTATTGTGTTTCCTTCATCGAAAGCCTAGCAGCAGTTACCTAACACCTCGATTGGCTTCTTGGGTTCGAATTGGTTAGTTACAGAGGACAAGAAACCGTAGGTTACTCCCGTTGCTTGTCTTTGCGGTCTCCAATCAGTACCTCAATTCACGACCTTCCTCAATCCTCTCCTATAAATACCGCCCTTCCACCACACGCTCTCCTGTTCCTCGCTCTAGCTTTTTACCCTCAAAGACTCAGATAATCTATCTTTGCCCTCTAACACTTACATTATCCCTCCCGTCTACGTTGCCTCGTCCTCCCTCTCGCACCATGGCTGACGTTCTCGAGGCCACAGAACCCTGTGTTCTGGGCAAGCTCATCTACCATCGCGGTCCCCGCACCGTCGTAGAGCACACTAGATCAGACGGCCAGGCGGTCATCGTCAAGTTTGCCAAACTGGACCCGAGAGCAGCCATCCAACGCTCCGAGGCGACCATGCAACAGTTTGCGGCCACCCACGGCATCCTCACCCCCAAAGTCCTCCGAGTCTACGACATCATGGGAGACGCTGGACCCATCGGCCGGGCTATCGTGATGGAGAAAGCCCCAGGCGTCCCTCTAGTACAGGTCTGGCGCAAGCTTCCTGGCGAGGTACAAGAATCGATCAAAGAGCAGCTGCGCGGACAACTCGCCCTCATGAGACTCCTCACCATGCCGTACATCGGACGCGTCGGGTACAAGCCCACTTGGAACGTCTTCAACGGCCGACAAACCTACGCGCTCGGCCCGTTCCCGGATCGGCAGTCATTCGACGAGTGGTGTCTGCGTCGCATCCGGCAGAAGCCCGACCGGTGGCTCACGCTCGACATGTGGAGGTTCAGGAGACATGTAAAGAAGGATCGAGCACGGTCGACCGAAGGCCGGTTTGTTCTGACGCACGGCGATCTGTCTCCTCGAAACATCATGGTGGAGGATGGAAAGATCACTGGTATCATCGACTGGCAGTTTAGCGGCTTCTTCCCCGAGTGGGTTGAACATGCCAACGCCACGGTCATCGCGACGGGCATAGAAAAGTGGTGGATTCCGGTCCTGAGGGAAGTGGTGCCCCAGTGCGCAAAGGCCATGTCCAAGCTGGCATTTGAGATCGAGGAACAGCCGGACTGTTCATACGGAGACGAGAAACACTTTGCTTTCGATGACTGATGTAAGTGGAGACTCTCGCCAATGGGTCGGAACGATCTGAGGTGGCTTTCCCCAGGTTGTTGATGCACAAAGTTTGTGGTGGATTTTTAATGCAAGTCAAGAGCCAATGTGTTGAGACTATAGAGGAAGCGCTTCGCCAGAAGGTGGGAGGGCGAGAACTCGTCATGATCATCTTTTCTTGGCTCATCAGTGACCCATTTTGGAGGGTTAATGGACTTTGCTTGGCAGATCTTGGGCTCCTTTGCATCTATGATGATTGATGGATATGGCGCAGATGAACTCTGGTTTCATGATATTCTTGCCCTCAAACAATTCGGGAAGTTGGGCTCAGCTTGGTGGTGTTACAAAGCAGTTTCTCATAAATAGCCAGAGGCCTTTGAGCTTATGATGTTTATTTCCCTCCGATTTAGGTAATAATGAACTTAGTCTGCCAATTAATCGTCTTTCTTACAGTTGTTTAAGAAAAGACTTCGTGTATCCTACCATAAAAGAAGTTACCTCTTGGTCTTGAAACACAAAATCGAAACATGGGATTAGCAAGTTCTAAACGCAAGCTTAAAGGCAGCGCTCAACCACGCATGCGCTTCTCATGAAATAACAGGATCAAGACAAGTCTAACATAGGTAGGTACCTAAGTGTAATAAAGAATGGAAATTACTGAAACTTGAGGGCTACCTCGATTCTGGCTTCTCTCACGTCGTTGCTCGGAAAAACTGGTCATGCATGTTCCGGTCCCGCCAAAAATGTACTCCCAAGTCTTTCTGTTGACAGGCTTCCTTCAATGCTCTCCCTTTCCTCCAGATTTCTATTCTTACCGTCTCTTACTCTACAATCATCTTTGACCGACACTGGAAAGACATCAGCCTACAAAACTGATATGGAGAAACAAGTATCCATCCTTCGAGGGAATCCCTCCCTCTTCGACGTGGCGAAATCATGCTAACTCCCGTTTTTATAGCATCCACCTTGCAGCTTTTGCATCCCGCCACGTCCAAAGCTTTGCACGCGCACAGCACGTACAAGATAAATCCTTGGCACCGAGCTAAACGTACCGTGGTTTTCATCTTCATCGTGATTCGGTCCAACAGCTCCAAGAGACAACAGATCCTTTCCTGACTGCAGAAGTCGCACCGTCCGATCCCGTTGTTCTATGCGAGACCCATGCTTTTGTCTTCACCATGTTCACCTATGTGCTTGTGAAAGCACACCGCACTCTTGGAAATATCATCTCAGGACAGGTGGACGTGCCGCCAAAGGAGCCATAAGCACATCCCACATCACCATGTTCGATCTACAACTGGCGAGAAGATTGTTTGGCCTTGTAGAAACGTAATCGGCTTCTTGGATTCCAACTGTTACAATTTTTTTGATAGCAGCCACCAACATAGAGTTCTCACTACTGTTCTTATAATTACGAACATGCTCTTGTAGCTGCTGTTGCCAAGAAACTCGATGGCTATGATATGGTTCGTATTTCTACATCATATTCGGCTTGACTACTTAATGGCCACGTTGGGATCGTAGTAGGACTAATAACAAGAGGAACAAGGCAAGGGCATAGAAATACATAATCGCTTCCATGGACGAGGGCACATTGTGGTAGTATAATCACCCACCGTCATTCTGGGAAGACTTTTCACGACTGGTGAATCCTACCGAATCTTTGGCGTGGCGATGATCCTCCATCATTCGTATTGTCCCCTGTGTAATGTAAGCCCATGATCGTCATGAAGTCCAATCATACTCGTCACGAAAGTCGAATGTATCTTGGCATTAACACTCTGGAGGTTTCAGTTAATGTATCTCCATCATAGTATTGGAAATACATAGATCGAACACCCTCGACCTGCGAGCGCCCCTCGACCTGCGAGCGCACAGAGACCCGCGAGCGCGCAGAGACCCGCGAGCGCGCAGAGACCTCCCACGAGCGCGCAGAGACCTCCCACGAGCGCGCAGAGACCTCCCACGAGCGCAGGGCCGACCACGAGCGCAGGGCCGACCACGAGCGCAGGGCCGACCACGAGCGCAGGGCCGACCGCGAGCTCAGGGACGAACCGCGAAGCTCAGGGACGAACCGCGAAGCTCAGGGACGAACCGCGAAGCTCAGGGAGAACCGCGAAGCTCAGGAAGAACCGCGAAGCTCAGGAAGAACCCTCAGAAAGAACCCTCAGAAAGAACCCTCAGAAAGAACCCTCAGAAAGAACCCTCAGAAAGAACCCTCTTCGTGAGACGTGTTAGTGAGACATGATACGGAGAGGGGAAGGAGAAGCACAAGCGCCTTCCAAGTTATGGTTGGGGTTTCACAGGCGCGGCAGGTGCCTTGAAAGGAGGAGAAGGTGCCACTGGATGGTGTGTGGGTCGACTTGCATCCTACTACCTTGGCCGGGTTCATAGTTCATGAATATTAGCAAGGGTTGCTGAACATGAACGGCGAAAGAGAGCTCGATCATTCACTCAATCAGATGGAGAGGGGGATTATGAATCGTGTCTCTTGACTGGAACTCATACGTTGGTGGTGTTTCGTCCAGCAAGTGCTTATGCCTCCTTTCCATCTTTACTGATGATTACTTGAAGGTTAACCCGAGTGATGGTGATGTACAAATCACTACGAATTCCTTGGTGCTGGACACTCCATGAGTGTTCTAGGCCGGGCTCGTTTACGTGCAATGCCACCAGAAAACCGTCTTACGAATGAGGCATAGCGGAAATTCACTCGAGTGACAACAGCCCGACGTTGCATGCTGTTCTTAAGAACTCTGACCGGTCCTTGTCGCCGTAGTTCGCTTCGGCATCAAGTGGCACTCGATGTTTAGTGAATCCGAACCTTTGAGAACGAAGTGTGGAGAGCTTCGATTATAGTGAACATTAGAGCCGGTAAACTCACGGTATCAAATATTGGAGAATTAAGGCCGGTTGGCTGCAGGAAAAATACCCCAGAGCGTCTCTTTCATGGCATCGATCATTAAGAGATGCGGAAATCCATTGTCTCGGCAAACAATCCATACGGATTATCTTTTTGGAGACTGAATGAGACTTAAAGGGGCTAATTAAAGGGGTAACATCAGTCGAGCGATGTCAAAGATACATCTTGCAAATGATGAATGGCCCCCAACCTTATTATCCATTTGACTTGGTGTATCTTGTAACACTGGAAGACGAGATCAAGGGTAACAGAAAGCAGTTTCTCTAGAAGCTTACTTGCTAAAACCTCACATTACACCTTTTCCCAACTGGAGTCGCGAGAAAGAAGTTAGCCGGTTCCATCATTTCATCATTCATCTGAGCACCCAATCGGAGGCCTTTGCACTGCCGGAACAAGGTTGCTGCTCCAAGTCGAATTTCCATCCTGGCTAGATGGATACCGGCACATGTTCTCGTCCCGGCACCGAACGGACAATATGACCTGGGTTTCGGTCCATCTTTGCCCATCCAGCGTGTTTCATCGAATCTGTCTTTTGTTACTTTCAGTGAGCGCGAGGGATAACAGGGCACATACGTCAGGGGATCAGGGAAAATGTTGGGGTCACGGTGCAGCGAGTATGCTTGTGTTTCCACCTCGATACCTTCAGGAACTGCGTATCCTCCAAGAGACACTCCGCCTTCAGGAACCACTCGTGGCAGATTCCCTGGAACAGCCCCATACAATCGAAGAGTTTCCTCGATCACAGCGTTAAGGAGTGGGAGCTGCTCCAGCGCTTCATCAGAAGCTGCGGGACCCAATGTTGAGACTTCATCCTCAACCCGAACCCGCAACTCAGGTCTCTTTAGAACCGCCCAGACCAGGTAGGTCAAAGTTATGGCCGTCGTATCAGCACCGGCGAGTATGAAGTTGGAAGCCTCTTTTCGAATATCATCGTCTGTTAGCTCGAATTTCTCCGCTGCTGCTTCACTCTGGGCTAGCATGGTGGCGAAGAGGTTCGCTCTGTTATCACTATGACGACGCAGGTTCAAGACGGCCGCTTCGCCATACTTATGGACCAAGTTTGGTGCAGTGACCAGAAGGTTCAGCTTTGGAACAGGTATGCGACGAAGAAGACCCGAAATCCCTGGCATTTCGTATTGAAGCGTGGCCCCGAGGGCCGCTGCCTCGAGGACTTGGATATGGTGGGATTTCTAAGAAGGATTAATCACCTGGTGACGGCATCAGATGAAGAAAAAACAACTTACTTCCCCAGACTCGAGAAGCTCAAACGACTCTCCAAACGATAGCTGGCCAATAATATCAGAGGCCATCAACATCCACCATTTCATGATGTCAGCTTCGCCTGTATCTCTGGCTTCTGTCATGATCCGGGATACTGCCTTTTCTACTTTTTCTTTTACCACATCTTCGCAGTTGGACCTCAGACTGGCGGCGCTAAAGGCACGTGCAAAAAGCTTCCTTCGAGACGCGTGCTTCTTCACATCTGTCATAGCGAACAGACCAATTCCGATGCCAGTCCCTCCCGCGCCGCCACTGAAGTCCTCATACCATTGAGTCTTGGTGAAGCCACTACCGATTTTGTGAATGGAAACGAATGCGTCCGGGTCGCAGAAGGCGAGCTGGTTTGGAGATAGCCGCACAACAGATCCATATCGTTGGTGGAGGCTATGAACATACTGCATGCGTCTGCCGGTAAGGGTGTAGAACTTGAGCACATAATGAGTCACGCGTGTGTACCATGGTCCTGGATAAACTCTCAGCGAGGGCTTGTGTATCAGTGTTGCGATTATCTGGCACTTGTTAGATTGGCGTACATTGATTTTTGTCATGTCATATGCTCAGCTCACTTGTAACAGGATAATTGCGAGCAGTGCGCCGGCTCCAATCCACAATGAAATAAGCATCTTGCCGGCAAGCTTCTTTGAACTTTGAACGAATGAGTAATTTACAAGAAAAAAACGGGAATGTGCGGGGTGGATAATGTCGGTATATGTTATGATTCGGAATCCGCGGATGCCTGGTGATCATTTCCCCGGTACGTGGAATGCTTTGAATCCATGGTAGGCTCTTCGCCAATACTTTATGACTCATTCAGACTCATTTGGACTCACTCAAGCTAGTTTTGAGGCAGTTGACGCGTTTAAGCTCATCTTGATGGAAAACAGATGGAGTGTTATGATGGATCATATTAAAGAACCTCTGAGACTAGAGAGCATTCATTAGCTCAAATACCTAGACTGCCTGGTCGCTGGAGTACACATCTTTCTAAGAGTCCCTACGAAACAGAACGGCGGTGGCTTCATTAGATAAGCGCCGGGGCGATTGGGTAATTGGTTAAACAAGGAGTTAATAGAGCTCAAGATCATGGTACCCCTTTAAGTGGAAAACTCACCAGCCAAAGTGACCTCATTCCGCGGCTACCGATAGTGGTCTCCTATAAAGATATTGAAACCCTGCTGAAAGCTAGAGCCGCTGTCCATGAGAAATTTGACTAGGCTCAACCCCTTCAACTGAGGAAGGTCTATACCGACAACACTATGGCGCGAACTCGTTCCAACAGCATCACGAGTGTGCTAAGAGCTAGCCACAATGGTGTCAAGCACCCTCAATCTCCAATGCTCGCATCACCCTTGCGCTCGAGCGATAGGGACACAATTTCCCATTGCCTTTCCTGAACTCCCACCGAGGAAGAGGCCTTGTTGGATGGTCAAGGGCAACAGAATAAATTTCTCTGCAATAAGCTTGGAGAAATCCCAAAGCACGCTGGCTGGTGAAGACACGCGTATGAACAAAGCCAGTCGTGCTAGATTTTGGACGCCTCTTTTAGCTTACATCAATGGATACTCATGCTGTGAGACGACCGGGACTTTGAGATAGCAGTCTCAATCAAAGTAGGGCTGAGCTATACGCGGGTGGTGGGAGGGCAAGGGTTCCATCCAATGGAACTTGAGTTCTCAATATTGGGGTCTTTTACTCCAGGAGGCACTTGCGCATAAGCAAAGGTTGCATTTTAAACCATCATAAGCACTCCTACGATCCTCGCATAAACTTACTGCTGATGATGTTATTGCTTCTCTTAGTTGAGGCAGTCTTAAATTAGACATCTTGTCAAAAGGGTAAGGGTATAAGATGTTGACCTCTGCTGAGTTCTGCCTAGAATTCAAAATCATCTTCAGATTCATCTTCTTTGCCTTCTTATTCCATCCTTGACATATTATTTCCATTTGTTAGAGAACTTCCTTTACAATGCGCTACTCAATTATTTTCTTCGCCGCTCTCTTTGGATCTGCTACCGCCACGCAGGTTGGCGAGCTTGAGGACCGTGACATCCAAGATGCCGCTGTCTCTGCTCTTCAGGAGCGAGCCCCTGTCATGAGACCGCCTGGCTGGAAGGGTATTGGTATGCCTTACCGTAAAACGCCATTTCTCCCCAAAGGCCGCCCAAGTCGCCCAAAGCGCCTCCGCGATCTTGACGCACTTGAGGAGAGGGATCTCTTTGAGGATTCCTTCTCTGCTCTTCAGGAGCGGGCTCCTGTCATGAGACCACCTGGCTGGAAGGGTATTGGTAGGCCTTACCCCAAGACGCCTTTTCTCCCTAAAGGCCGCCCAACCCGCCGCAAGAGGGATCTGGACGAACTTGAAAGCAGGCCTTTTCAGCGAAGGGCGATGCCTGGCTCCATGCCTCGACGTATAGGCTCGGGCGGGTCTCGCCCTAACAAGTTTTATTATAAAGGTCTTGCGGCCCCTAGGCGCCGTCCCCGCGATGTTGAGGAGCTCGACGAACGCGACCTTTATGAAGATGCATGGTTTGATTCGGAGGAGTAAAGTCTCGAGCAAACGGACAGTTGGGCTAGTCTTTGGCCAAAGCCGTACAGAACTGCGGGAATAGCCATGGAGTTACTTGTAGACTGGCATCATCTAGGCTCAACGGCCTTCCTGGGAGATGCAAGTTGGCGTGGAGACTTGTCGATGGCGGAACGGAATTTGTACGCATAGGAGCAAGTAGTGATATTCTAAGTTCGACCATTGTTGGCGCTTTCACTGGGAGCGGTTGGAGACCATATGTGACTCGGAAAGCTTTTATTGGGGCTCGCCCCTTTACCCCCTTTCTTTGCCATTGGAGCTCACCCCCCTCTTGGGCGATTTCGCAGCCTTCCCTGACTGGAATGCTGATGGAGCGTTTGTAGTAGGTGTAAAGCTAGGCATTGTATCAGTCCGGGTGTGTGCCTTTTAGGCTTGCGCTACTTAGAGGCGAGCTGCATCAAAATCAAGGCCATACTTGTTATTCAAGTCTCAGGGTGACAAGTAGAATGCTGACAAGTAAGAAGGATGCGCGGGAATTCCGGAGAATGTGCCGCCGTGGCAGCTTCTGTATTCTAAACCTCCTGCTACCGGCGTTTTCACATAGATAGCACAAAGTTATTGAACTTCAAGGTCCCTTGCCAGGCAATAGATAAAACAATGGGTCGTTTCACTTCTGCAAAGCATCGATTCTGGATGGGTCTACCCACGAAATATAAAAGACCATGATACGGCTAGTATTAAGACTCGTATTGGTTAGCCCCGTCAGTAAATGGGCGAAGCCTATCGGAGGGTATTGTTTATTAGGCGTAAGGATCGTTTAACATGTTGATTTTGGTGGTCTGGCCTACTGGATATGAAGCTATGACAAGCTGTGATACCCGTGAGGATCAATACTGGTGTGACTGGATGTAAAGCAACTGAAAATGCTCTAAGAATAAGAAGAGAATCATGGAATAGTACCACCTAAAACGTCATAGATTTCTAGATTGTGCTGCTATGTTAAGACCTTCAAAGCCACAAGGATAAACAAATTTCTCAGGGCTGCAATCATTTGTGCTTAATCGGTCAGAGTGCTCCTTTGTAGACCATAGGCGTTCCGCTGAAGAAAATCCAAGATGATCACCGGCTAAAGTCTCATCATTAAGCTTTGTAGCATGAATCAAGAGGCCAGGCACAGCCACAAGCTCTACAATTTGAGAAATTGGCATGATTGACCACTCGGCGACTCGATGAAGCCAAGCTCACGGCGGGTCTGGCTTTGTATGTAGGATGGCTCCGTGGACCTGGTAGGTCCGTCTACCAGTGGGTTGTGATGATCATCAGGCATTCTTCACTTGTGATGCGCTTCTTGCCAGATTAATTGGCGACATGAAACTAGGCTGTCTAGCGTGTAAAAAAGAATAAAACAAACCTGGGCTGATGATGCCAAGCGATGTGGTGGAGATGAGAGAACATCGTGAACATGGTGGGATCGCTTCATGCATCCGAATTGGGTAAAAAGAAGACGCATCGCCCGGCTCAGTCGCCGACCGTCCCAATTTAAATCGCCGGGCTAGGGGCAATGCCATCGTCACACGTCCGATACTTCCATTTTGAGAAAAATTTAGACGCAGCAAACGTCTTTTTTTGGGAGCAGCAAATGATGAAGCTTATTGACGCCGTCACCGAGGTGGCTCGTTGCTGGCTTACACGGCGGAGGTGGACTTGCTATAAAGCCTGGACCTTTCGTGATTGAAACACACGATGCCCTCACACATTCACTAGACACTTATTTAGTTTGCATTCTACTCCAGTATGGCTGGTGCTTTATTATCTCTGGCAATTGGCCTGCACGCCGCCTTGGCGTTCGCAGGGAGCGATGCGTGCTTGGACTTGCGAAATAACCCGACCGTCACCATCGATTCTGGCCCGGTCATGGGGACAGTCATGCCCATCCCCAATTCCGACGTGAAGGTCGAGAAATACCTGGGCATCCCCTTCGCAAAGCCCCCTCCTCGCTTCAGCCCCCCGGAGCCAATCGAGGCCTGGGCTCCAGCAACGCTCAATGCGACCGAGCATGGGCCGTACTGCTACGAGAACTACCTCAAGGACGAGACGTACCAGTCAGTAAAGTACTTGTTTCCACGCCCCCCGGGAGTCGAGGACGAAGACTGCCTCAACATCAATGTCTGGACACAGACGAGCAAGCCAAAGGAGTTGAAGCCGGTCATGCTGTGGATGTTTGGGGGGAGCTTCCAGTACGGCACAGGGTCTTCACCGCTTTACGACGGCACCAACTTCGCTGCCAACCAGGACGTTGTGCTGGTCACGTACAACTACCGCACCAATGTGTTTGGATTCCCCAACGCGCCTGAGATCCCGGATGATGACGTGAACCTGGGGTGAGTTGTGTCAAAGCAGTCTATGTTACAAGAATACATTCTAACCAGAGAGCGTGACAGATTCCTTGATTCCCGACTAGCCCTGGACTGGGTCCGTCGGAACATCAAGTCCTTCGGCGGCGATCCAGAGAAGGTCACCATCTTCGGGAACAGCGCCGGCGCGGGCATCGTCGACAGCCTCATCCTCGCGCCGCCCGACCCCCTCCCCTTCCGCGCCGCCATCCTGCAGTCGGCGACGGCGACCTTCACCGAGAACGCAGGCAACAGCGCCAAGTCTCGGGGCGCCGTCTGGAAGCTGCTGCTCAAGGCGCTCAGGTGCCCCGAGGAGGGCGCCGAGGCCGTCGAGTGCATACGCGGGAAGCCGGCCAAGGAGATACAGGACGCGGTGCAGAACAACAGGATGTCCTTCTCGGCAGTCTCGGGCGTCAAGACGTGGCCCGCCCAGGGCCGACAGCGACGGCTCAACTCGACCGAGGCGAGGTCGGCCATCGCGCGTGTCCCTGTTCTGGTTGGGAGCACCGCCGATGAGGGCCAGACCTTCCTGGCTAGGAGTAACAATGCGACCGCGAAGGACTATCTCAAGGGGCTTGCGGGCAACGCCGTCAGCGACGAGATAGTCGACGAGATCCTCGCATATTACCCCATCGGATATCCAGGCATTCGCAGCGAATGGGACCAGAAGGCCAGAGTCTCGGGCGAGTACTGGTTCAACACGCCGGCATGGGGGCTTGCCAACGACAGCGCGTCCGTGGGCATTCCCGCCTGGAACTACCTCTTCAACGCGACCTATTTTGAGCCGCCGTTGTATGAAGGCAGCGGCGCATTTCACGCTTCAGAGCTCCAGCCTCTGTTCGGCACATACTCCCGAGAGAACGGGACGAACGGAGGCAGGGAGCACGAGGCCGTGAGTAAGGCTATGCAGAAGGCATGGGCGGACTTTGCCAAGGACCCTTACAAGGGACCTGGATGGGAGCAGACGCCCGTCTATGGCGTATTTGGGTTTGGCGATGATGGGAAGCAGGGTTTTGGTACGAGCAAGCTGGAGGGCTTTGTTTTACGGCTAAAGTTCTGGCTGGCTTTGTTTGACTTGACGTCCGAGAGCTAATGATCTGGTCCTCTTGAGCCCGCTGCCAGCATAAATGGCCACAGAGGTGTTGGGGAGCTGCACTTGGGTGAATGGAAGGGGTGATGCTGAATACCCGAAATCTTTTGGATCAATTGAGTGCATCTAATTGGGGGTCAGATGGGGGTTCGAGCGACCGTCGCTTCCCCTTTCCCAATACCCCAGGGGGCTTGGACGAGCGGCCAGGAAAGGTACATTGCGATCAATTAATTGTTAGATACACCCGTTGAAAATATTGCAGCAGAGAACTGCCATGCTGGGATTCCAAATAAGTCTAGTGCCACTGTAGGACCTATTGATGCACACGAACAATGTGCAAGTGTGCAGCTTGCCACCCATCTCTGTTTGGAAAGGAGTGCTTATTCGAGGCTGAGACATTGGTGTTCAGGCCCGCCACCACCTTGAACAGGTGCTCACATATCATGGAATCCCGGCTTGTTTTCTCACGAGTTGAAACGGTGTATCCCTATTACTAATAACTGAATGGGAGACGGCAGCGGCCAGCTCATATCTCATCTTTTGTCGCTCGTGTTGGTGCGCTGCGGCTGGCACACCCAGGCGACTCTGACAGCCTGCCATTGGCGAGCAGAGTGAATCACACCGCACCTGGAGGGCAACCTGGAACGAGGAGAGCTCACAGGAGGAAAAAGGAAAGAAAACCTGAGCGACCTTATCCAATCCCACCCACCAACACGAAAGATAAAAGCGCCGCGTATCCCCCGAGCAATGCCCATCAATCAACCCATCCCCTCTGCATCCCCTTCTCGACTGATTTAGAGAAACGGCAGCATGGAGAACAAAGACTCGACCCCTCCCAAGGCCCGGAACATCTCGCTCCAGAGACGCTGGGCGCACGAATACGCTCTGACCCAGCCGGGCTACGATGTGAGTCCCCTACCTACCAGTCAGTGGCATTAGAGCAACGCTCACCTTTTTACAGGACCTCCCTTGCCCAACTACCAATGACGGGGCCACTCTGATCACCCAGCCTGGCACCCCGCTGCCGCAGAAAATCTACCCGTGCCCGGAACCGAGCGATGAGCGATCTCGACGCGACCCGTTTACCCCCGCGTCCACACCCCAGTCGATTATAGACGGCATGGACAGACAGATTTTCAGCCTGAGAGTCCGGCTGGCGCTGACAAACTTGATCCTCCAGACCGAGGGCTACGAGCGAGATCAATGCATGTGCATACTCTACAACGTGCTGACTGACGATGAGCTCAACGAATTGATAAGGGCGCTCGAGTGCCTAGGGCTCGGGGACCTGGCGCGCGGAAGGCCCGTCCAAGCGGACGCGGGAATCTCCCAAGAGGAAACGGGAATCTCCCACGAGGACGGGGCAATCTACCACGAGGATGGGAAAATGCCCGATGGGGTGGTGGAACTCACCGACGCGGATGGGGCCTCTGCCATGGCAGGCGTCCGGACCATCAGGCACACTGATTTCTGGGTGCCCGTGCAGATGGCCGGCCAGAAGCGCAAGGCGCCTTCTCTGCTCGAGGACCCCCTTGACGCGGAGCAGCCTGATGAAGAGATCAGCTACGAGGACAAGTTTGAGCCGTTTACTTTTGATGCTGTTCTCGGGGACTGGGACATCTCTGAGTAGTTGTAGTTGGCAATCTGCCGGGCGGGATTGGCTCGATCGCAGTGCCGACTACGCATGGCCGGATCTGTGGTAAATGGTCTGTCACTCTTTTGCAGGTTATTGTGTTTGTTTCTCGGTGCTGAAGCAGTATGCGACTATACAGTGAATTGACTGCGTTTAAACTTGGCATGAGCTTCGTCGTAGCGATGGTGTGATTGATGCTGTAGCTGGGTGATTGAATTGTCCAGTTCGATGATGGTGGGGTGGTTCTGACGCCCCGTCAGGACGATACCGTGTACAGTAGCACTCAAACCCTGACAGTGCGCCACACTCCAAGCCGATGCACCTCGAGTCCTTTGACCTGACGGGCGTTTGCAGGCAATTCTAGTGCACATTTATCTAGTGCATATTCATCCAGGTCGCTGCGTGAAGTTTTACCGGTGCGACACGTACTGTAGAGCCACTGGCAGCTCAATGCACCATTTTCAAGGCGGTCGCAGGATGGAATTCGAGCAAGGCTTCTAGGCTCGAGTCCTTCCCCACGTCCGGCACACTCCGGCAGCTCTGGAGCAGCGACGGTGCAATCCACTTTGTGTCATCAACCTGCTTGGCGCCAGAAGATCATGATGCACTGGGGGAAATTTGATGGAACGGTGCGAGTTTAATCTTATTCCCGCTCACGGCAGAACGGTTAAATGTGGACATTTGTGCTTGTTTGCGAGCGAGATCTACCACATGTAAGTGGGCTGCAAGACTACCCATTGTCACGGAAATCGGCCCGCCGCATTCCCAGCATCTGTTCAATTGAAGTGGCTTGGTGTTGTAACAATTCCTTTGTAAAGCGGCAGATTATTGGCTGGTAATCAAACAAAAACAAGCAGAGATTAGAAAAAAAAAAAAAAAAAAAAAAAAGATCGCCAAGTCATTCCAGGCTAAGCCAAGAAACAGTATCGCTGGCCTGGCCATTCATTTGGCCGGTCGCTTCATCTTTTTTTGGGCCGGCCGCTTTTCTCTTCAGCTTGGCCTCATTTTTTGGGTCGGTCGCCTCACTCTTTGGTCTTGGTACGCACTGATTGAGACGTTTCACGACCGCGTCTTTGGCTGCTCATAGTGATTTCTTCAATTTGTCAATATTTATACGGAGTACTGAGTGCTCAAAAGCCAGTCTCAGCTTACAGTTAAGCATCTGATACTTGGGCGTGCCCAGCAGCGCAACCGCATGAGGGGCCGCTGTCTTGGCGAACAGCTCCCTGATATTATCATCCACAGTCTCATCCCAGCACAGCTTCAGCATGTCACAGAACACTTCTGCCTCCCATTTATCGGCCAGCAGCCTTTGGATGCAGATGGAAGAATACTCGGAAAGCGACTCGATCTGGTAGTAGTCGGCGACGTTGTGCATCTTGATGTGGAACTGTATCGTCTCCGCTGTGCTCACGGGCTGCTTTGTCTGCCAGCCCGTGCGTATCGCCTGGCTGGGAGCGCTCCGGTAGTCCTCGACTTGGGCCACAATCTCCTCCACGGGCCGCGTCTTGTAGGCCATGATCTTCTGCGCCGGGGTGGTGTACGTTCCGTTGTACAGGTAATGCACCATCTGCTTGACCACCTCGACTTCGAACTCGTCGGCCGACAGCCTGCCATCGGTCGCTTCCTACACCCGGGTCTGCAATTAGTCGAGCTGACATGGGAGCATGGGAAAATTGCCTGAACTCGTTTCCTAATGTTTCGGAAGTGGGAAAAGAAAATAATGACGAGTAATATTCCACACAAATTGCAGGACTCGGCTGAGGGAGGGGAGGGAGGGGTTAGTGCTGACCGTGAATTTGCCATAGAATGCAACCCTCATGAACGCAGATCGCACGGCGGCGAGGCTTCTATGAATCTGGAACTCTTCGCCGCGGCAGGTGATGACCGCGTCGAACCCAATGTCGTTGGTGAACAGGAGCCCGAGAGTCTCGGCAGCATATGTCTCGGCGCTGGGCGGAGTGAGGTTGTCCCTTTCCTTCCTCGCCTTGAAGCCCCATCCCATCCTTGTGACTCGTCAGGCCGCGCTGACTTCGGAGGAGCAGAATTGGGCGGAAAAGGAACCTTTGGCCAGGCCTGACGCTGGTTGGTGAGCAACGTGCATCGATCGGGGGAGATTGTGGGCAACTTGCATCGATCGGGGAAGTACACATACGGGCAGACTGGGACAAGAAAAGAGTCTGGACTCTGCTCAACCGTGCGGCACAGTAACGGAGCGAGAGAACAAAAATGAGGGATGATCAATCAGGCTTACAAAAAGCAAAGATGCATCGGCTGACCTCGTGGTTGCTTCTTTCCTCGCCTCAAGAGACGTGACAAGGGGCAGATAAGGAAAGAACAGGGGAGCTCCTGAACAGAGTGGCTGGCCCAAGGATTCTAGTGCGGGGGGCGGCCTTTCAGCTGCTGCAGCCCCCTGGAGCACAATGGCTGGCTGAGTTGGGAGACATTTGCGTCACTCTACATTAGCCAACGTAGCACGTAATCCTGGTGCCTTAGCTGGACAGCAGTCGAGGTCGGTCTCTAGTGTGCAGCCGGTGAGGCCCGAGTTATCAGTCCTGTGATTGGCCTGTGCAAGATGCACGGTTTGTACCTATTCATGGCCATCCAGTCCCCAACCGCCATGCCATGCCGCCATGGGCCTGTGGACTCCACGGGGAGTGTGGGTACGGTGGGCTATGCTGTGCCGTGTCTTTCACGTACATGAATAATCAATAGTCGTGGGCAAAGCAAGGCGATCAACCGGTCGTACTTGGGCTGGAGTTTTACATGCTAGTCGAGGGGGATGTATCGGTCCAGTACCTACCTACCTACCTTACATACAATTACGGTGCTTGAATATTTGCTCTGTGGCTGCTGCAAGCAGAGAGGGCGTGTAAGACGGGGGTTTATCTAGAGAATTAACGGCCCTCTCAACATATCGACCAGTGTCCTGAGCATCAATGCCAACGTGCAAAAAATGCTTTGTCGTAGTTGTCTTAGAAAACTGCTCTCAAGGTGATTATTGCGCCTCAGGTATTAACACCTGGATCCGACTTGGGGCGGGGAAGAGGCCAAAAAATTGCAGCCGGCTGCCAGTGAACACCAAAACAAACCCTCCAAACTCCTCCTTCCTCAACTCACCTTTCCCTCGCCTTTTCTCCGTCTTGTCACCAACGCACCCCCAAACACGAAACCTGAACCCAAAGTTCTCAAACACAAAAGTCCCATCTTCCGGCATTCCTATCTTCCAGTTCCCTTGCTGTCTCCTTCGTTTCCCCCGTCCCGACATCTATTCTATCATCAAAGATTCATTCTGCCTGGCTAAAGCCCATCTGGAAACATGGACGCCATGGGTCGGCCCCTCATGGCTGAGTGGCACTCAGATTTGCGCTTCAGGGGTTCTCCAGTCCTCAGAAATGCAGAGATCCCAACAAGAAATCGCCAGGACATCATGACCACCTTGCCTATCGTCCTAAGGTTTGATGCTTTCCTGGATGAAGCAAGGGGCCCAGGAAGAACTGTCCAGGGAACCATTACCACCTTGCCTCTTGCAGCTTTCCTGAGTGACGAAGCCCGCGTCGCTGCAAGGTTTGCCCCCGCAACACGTTCACCAGACCAACCTCATCCTGCCGAACAGCCGTTTCAGCTTCAGCTTCAGGCAACCCGTCGTCTGGTTTCCATGTATGATAGTTACATGATTCCGATCATGCAGTTTGAGGGCCCCTACTTCACCCATACGATGATGGACAATCTCCAGATACGCTGTGCCCCTCTTGATCTCATCACTGGAGACATCGTAGGACAATACCTGAGGTATTTCCGGCCCATGGAGGAGGAAGTTCTCAACTTCTGGATCCACGCCAATAAAACAGATGTCCAGATCAGGGAGTACAAGACTCTCGTCGGTATCGACGGTCAGCACGAAAACAACTATACCCAGGCCATGTCCATTTGGAAGAAGGGGGTTGCTGTCTTCCTCTCGGATGGCGTGAATCACGACCATCTCCCCAAGCTCGACCACATGTTTACTACGTGGAATGTGTCCAAGTAAGTACACAAGACCCCAATACTCTGGCTTGGCCAGTTCGTGCTAACTTCTTATTTTCCCAGCAACGGCTACAGGCAGCTACACCGCCGTGAGGGCAACGGTACGAACTGGAGCGCCGAGGGAATATTCCACTTCTGGACTGACGACGGTTCCCGGCCAGACGACGAAACGCCGCACGTTGTGGCCTTTGTAGCGGACCAGGCCCCCTTGATGGACGGGCTTCCCTCCACAAGTGCAGTGCAGACCGCCATCTGGCTTGCCGCATCTGCGTCAGCACAAGACCGCGGGCAAAATCACAACATCTTCCCGGTAAGTGTTCTCAACTTTCCTCCGGAATCTCCTTCTTCTCACAGCGCCCGCCAGGTTGCGGTTGTCTGCTGCTCTGGACACAAGGTCCGTGTCGTGCAGATGGTTATCAATCTCCTCCACGGCGCAGTCGAGATACGCCTGTCCCAGATTGTCGACCTCCGCGACCCTCCCCACGGGGACTGGACAGCCTTCCTGCAGTTCCTGTGCTGGTTCCTTCCCGATCCTACCGGTGACACCACTTCTTCTTTTTAAATGAAGGCCAAGATTACACGCATTATGGGCTGTGATGTCTCGATCGACGGTCACTATTTTCCTCGTTCTTGACTCAATTGGTTCTTATTTGATGATGTTCTTTTGTTCTCCTTCAACGCAGCTTGAGCTTCGCTGTTTGCGCTGCCTTATTTCTTTCCCTCATTCACCATCGTCTCGGTTGTCCTTCGTCAAGGAGCTTCAGTCATCTGTTATATCTTTCCTTTCTCCACACTCCTTCACGCAAGGTTGATATTCCCTATGTTCTTCTTTTTGTGTTCTTCGACTCCACAAGATTATTGCCTCGCCTGTTTGTCAATGAGGTAATTTACTTTCCCTCTCTCCTTTTTGTGCTTGGCCTTCCTGTCACGCCTTGTTTGACCTGATGAATCTACTTCTATCGGGGCATCCAGCAAAATGGGCGCCAACATCATTCTTCACACTAGCTACCTAGTATGCCATAGTTTTAATCAACATCTGTATGAGTCTTGTAAATGGAATGTGTCGCCTCACCTTAAAGAACCGTACTCTGGATAGCCACGCAGGTGCCTAAAACTCTGGCCAAAGGCGCACCGAATCTTTCATTGACTGCTTCCCTTAAAGCTCAAACCTACTGCAATTCGACCCTTAACCATTTGTTCTCATCCCGTATTATTTTAGGTCCAGCGTAATCGGGTAGGCCCATGAGGTAACTTCAGGTGTATGAGCGTCCTTCGAAGTAATTCGGGTCGAAGGGTGCTGTGCAAGCCACCACAGGCGGCCGTTCAAACCGAGGCCCAAGGGCAGACTCGAAAGCTTGGATGTCTCATCAGTACATTGGTATCCGTTTGCAGGTGGAACATAGGATGGTCTCCTACTTGCTTAGCCGCATTCTCAACCGATTTCCCTGTGTCTTTTGAAAGCACGTCCTGGTGGGCAATGTCAATTCGTAGCGGTCCCAGTGACTGGATTAAGGACATGTTGGAATATGCTTTGCTATGATCACAGAACTGTTATTTCGAATGGACATCAGGATTTTATAATATCAAAACAAGCACCAGCAAAAACTTGAACGGTGAGCAGGCACATTGCCTCGGCAAGGAGTTGTTTTCTCCGGCTCTTGATACACCTCCTTTTATGTATTACACACGGGTGCACACATACGAATCTACCTACTGAATACAGGAATGATAGTTGACAAGAACAAAATTCTATGTTGGGACAAAAGACGGCTCTATAATTGAAGATGTATGCACACTCTATCTCTAACATCCCTACGGAAATCCCTTTTCCAGTCTATGCATTAGGAAATACCATACAATTTACTGACGGCAAAGCCATTCACCTTGGAGATCTGCACCTTCCCAAGCAGTTAAGGCTCCGGTATTTTTGGCTGACAATAATCTAGATCAGAACAACCAAAACCACAGACATAATTATGGCCAAGATGGAAGTGCTGGAAAGCCCATGTGCCTTGCTACTAGCATCCTCGGTAGTAGAGGGCGACGCGCCGCTCCTAGTCGTCGTTTTCGTTTTCGAAACCTCGCCGGTCTCTCCGCCGTTGTTCCACTGCTCGACAATATAGTTGACGAGCTCCTCCTTGCGGTCCTTGACGTAGCGGACGTGGGCATCGCTGTAGGCCGGACCGACGTCGCAGTACACATCTCCAGCGTCGCAGTACGATCGGATGCGCTTGCCCAGAGCCTCGCAGGCGCTCGTGTCGCCCCGGTAGAAGACGCCGTCGCCAGTCAGGTTGTGCGAGCCGTAGTTGTAGTTGGTGCCGTTCTTGTGGGAAGGGTCACCGAGGAGAAGGGTGGCGATTACTATTTGCGCCGTTTAGCACTTGGACGGGGGCTGCGTGGTGATTCGGGAGGCATATACTTACCATTCTTGGTGACGTTTGCGGGGAGAGGCTGTGAGAAAGATATCATCTCGGGAATGCTAGGGTTGGGCATGAACTGAGCCCAGATGACGGGCATGCCGCAGAGGCTGTTGCTGATGATTTGTGCGCCCTGTTGTACGGCCATTGGTTAGTGTTGCGAGAGGACATAATATATGGCGAACGATTCCTACCTGGGAATACCCTATCCAGGCCATCTTCCCGCTGGGACAGGCCGTGGCATAGTCCGTCATAGCCTTCCTAACCATCGCGGTGCCATTGAACACCGATTCGAAGTAGTTTGACTCGTTGGTTCCTCGTCGCCCGTTGCTGGCAGTGTATAAAATGGCCGTGTAGTTGGAATCGGGGATCTTGTCAAAAACCGGCATAAGGAGCTTTCCGGTCTCGCCCAAACCCCGCGTGTTGTTGCCCAGGCCGGTTTCTGAGATGAGCGTCGTATCCTTGTTCAAGGCATCAACCAACGGCTCGCCAGTTCCACGACTGACGAAGATTTTGAGGCCCTTCACACATTGCGTGTTGCTTGTCTGGCTTGATACTAGGCCCGCAGCGAGAGAGCAGGCCACCGCGAGGGACCGTAAGACTTGCATGGTGTGGTTGTAGGTACGTGAGTGTGGATGTAGAGAGGAGAAGGAAGGAGGGAGAGTAGGTAAGGGTCAAGTACTAGAGTGGTAGTAGGGATAACTTCAGAAAAATCGATCGAGTTCTCCGGGCCAGGGTCACTTTCTTATAGTTTTTGATGATTTATGCATCCGATCTCTATTGCCTTTCTGAGAAATATGGAGGAGCACCGAGGGCTTGGAATTGCTTAGCTGTGTCATACGGACACAGCCCTACTGGGAGCGCAGCGGCTCTTGGCGTGCTTGCTGAATGCACCCAAACGGGCAGAATGATCCGTGATGTCCACTCTGGATGCTGACAGGCTAATTAAAGCGCTCCTAGAAAGCCGTTTGCTGCTAGATACCGCGACTCTCTGCCAAATCGGGTAAAACGAGAAGCACCAAATGGCCTCCAGGGTGTAAGCCGTGATCCATGCCAAGATTAAACTCTTTAAGATTCAGCCCACATAGGTAGTGCATTGACGACGGTTTGTACCATGGGTTTCTCGGGCTCAAGATTCCCTAGCAGCGCGCTAGGTAGGCAAGTAAGCCTCAGACGCTCTTCCGCTTGGCCATTCTAGCTGCTGATCGCTACTCCCCTACGACATCATATTGCATACCAGATGAGCTAAGGATAGGTCGCCAAGCATACATGATCCAGTCCGTGGGTCTGCGTGGTCCAAGCTAAAAGATTGTGTTTCTATATCGTGACAGTTTCTCGCCGCTCTCCTGCTCTGCTTTGTAAGGTGTGTGTTGTTTCAAACATAATTTGTTCATGGCTCTTGAACAATATATAGGAACGCAATCTTGTTCATGAACGTATGTGAGTTCAGGCCGAGTAATAGATATCTTATAGCCACCTCGAGATGAACAAAGTATATCAAACAAGGCTAGAAAAGGAAAAGAAACAGAGATTCAGGTCTGGTGCATCACCACATGTTATGACTACCGAGAATGCTACTCTGATACCACTATACATAGAAAAGCCCAGCGAGCCTCTTAAGACTTGGAGGTGGATCGCACAGCAAAGACAAAGGAACCAGCATGGGAGTCTGATGGGGACATTTGTGTATTGCCAGTGACGCCTCATCGAGGACTGAAATGGCCTAATGTCCATTGGTTTGGTCGATCAGAGATATATCTGCTTGAATTCAGCCCTGAAAAACCAGGCTTCTTTTTTTGAGCTGTTGTCACTGCTCCAACCTGGTCCAATTTCATCCACTGCCTCTTCCAGTATCACAGTACCCTGATACTAACTAGCGTCCAGACTGCTACTTGCGCCAAAAATCCCCGGATTCAATTAGTACTGATTCAGCGGTCGCCCTTGCAACATAAATACAAGAACTACTCTGTCGGGAAACCCTTTCATTGGTTCGTGCCACTTCCTGTCGCTCGGAAAGCTTTTCCACTCGTTCCCACACGCTATTCTCTCGTTCCCGCACGTTGTTCTCTCGTTCGGACACGTTGATCTCTCGTTTGCAAATCTCTTCCTCCCGCTCGGACACGGCTTTCTCTCGTTCACGAATTTCCTGCTCTCGCTCATAGATCTCGTAGATTTCTCGCTCTAGCTCAGCTATGGCGGTCCCCATGTCTACTTGACCTATCAAATGGTAGAGATTGAGTTGCGCCTGGTAGACGCGTTCCTCGTTTCCCCGTAGCAAGCACGGTTGATCATTCAGCCTTTCCCATCCCGCGATTAGGTTTTCCTCTCGGCGGGCTACATCCTTCACTCTCTGAGTTAAGAATTCCTCCTCCCAGTTGAGCTTTGTCTCTCTTTCATTCAGCGCCACCCTTTCCTCGAGCAGCGCCTTCTTTTCCTCGGCGATGTGATTGTAGTGCGAGACCACTTCTTGCCCATTCTTCATAATACTTTCCCGCAAGGCAATCAGTTCTTCGTACGAGCTTCCGGTCTGTCGACTCCGGGCCGAACCTTCAGTCTCTTGTACAGCATCCTGACTATGGGCAATCGGAACTTCGGTGGGTAGCGCTCGCTCAGGGGTTGCTGTAAGGGTACTGATTTGACTTGAGTGTTGTGACCGAAGAGGCTCTGAGCAGTGGCGTCTTTTAGACCGGCCTCTCAAGGGGAGTGACTGCATCATTCTGGACATGCGAGTGGTTCTGAACCGAGATATCAAGGCAGGTATTGCTTGCGTAAAGTCGGACTGTGGGGAGTAAGAGAAATCTTGTGGTCAATCCGCTGGCTTGGAATGACGAAAGAGGGAACCTTGGAATATTTATAGGGTTTGCACGAGGTGCTGATCGAACGCAAACAAAATTTCACCTTGCGGAGTTCCGTTAACAAATGAAGAGCGGGCTCGTTCGTATAAAACATCAGAGTCATCTGTGAATGGCTTTGTTTGAGTTCCGTGTATCACGTATAAGCGTAGGTAGCTCGGAACGGATCGTGGACCTACGGCCTTTCTCCTTGCTCATCCACCAATACCAGACGTCGCACTTCCCAACTCGTGGCATTTCTTGACGCCCGTACATACGTAAGAGAGTTCGCTTATAAAGTTAAATGACGATGGAAGATGCCAGAGCCCGACTTCTTCACACAATGAATACGAAAGGTTAACATAAGCTTCGCTAGCCCAAGACTGCAGTCACGCGGAACGAAAAGCCCGTAAACCTTCATACCAATGAATCACTCGCCGTGAAGACGGGCCGCTCATCGAATGAGTCCGTTAGCTGCCCAATTTCACCTGGCTTCCTTCGTACACTCCTTCCACGCCAATCTAAATGCTCTAATACTCCAAGTTACCTCGGCATTCATATTCAAAGGATTAAACTGGTGCGTATTCCTCCTTCCTTGGGCACGGTCATTGCAAGAAAATAAGCACGGCAGCACGAAAAGATGAAAACACAGGGAAGAAATCAGGGCTCGACAAAAGATAGCTTTAATAAAAAACCTTCTTGACCTTTACAAGCACAAAGAAAGACAACACACTGGGAGTTTCTTGACGCACAAGACTTTCCAATCCATGCTCTGCATTTTTGTCCTCGTATTCTTTTATGTCTAAGCGAAGATCTCTGGTTTGTATAGCTCGACGATACCGCCTGTTCATGGAGTTTGTAGGCTGGCTCTTATCTCAGAGGAAACAAAGGTTACAATGTACCTAAGCTCAAATATATTTAGAACTGTACTGTAACTTAGTTGTTGTTCTCAAAAGCCATTATGGTTCGCTCGTGCTCTGTAACAGATCTAAAAGTTTTGAAAGCCATTGTCTTTCCTTTTTGCCCCCCTTGTGTTCAGGAATATCAAAGCTATTATGTGCATCCTCGGCCAAAGGGTACATTAAGCGAGACGAGCGATGCACGTACTAGACAACGTAAAAAGAGAAGCACTGATAACACTGATGATTAGGTAGTAGCCCTGACCTGGCCCTCATTGGAAATACAGTTCAACGGCGCTGTGACGAAAGAGAATCTCTTTACCTGTAGCCATTTATGACTACCTAGATGCTTGCGCCGTAAGACGGAATAACGTATTTCAGAGATGGCTCATCAGTTGAAACTCATTCCGCCTTCATAAATACGAACCACTAGCAGTTCCGTCGAGGACTGTTGGCCTGGAACGAGGTTTTGAGGACATTACAACCCACTCTATCATCTTCTACGGCGTTGAATACCCGCTCCTTGTTCTCTTCAAGTGCCGGAGAGCTTCTCTTACATCCACCCGCAAGAGTGATTCATCGTCTAGATTCGCTTCTGACTCGGAGAAGACACCCTACCTTGCCAACCGAGAAAGGTCCCAGAAGACGTACCCCCACACCCAGAAATCAGCATCATGAAATCGCGACCTCTCCACTGCAAGGCTTTTCCCTTCATGGACATGTAAGAAAACCTTCGAAGGTCCCGCATCATGGTCCGGGAAGCGCGGGAACCGCAGAAAATGGCGCAAGAACGCTGTCTTAACTTGTTCAGGGTAGTCACGTAGCTTGGTGCTTCTGCCCACCCCCGACGAAGGCTGTGGTCGAAACAGTTCCGTGTATCGGTATAGAAACTCTTCTCTTAGAAGGGGTAGTTCTTCCGGGAATTCTGGGTAGGAGCTCAACCATCACCTCCGGAATTCTAGGAGCGTTTATAATCTTCCGCACATAGCATAATCCGCGAGAGACAATCTCCTCTATCCGACCATCGCCGATGACATGATCGGTCGCGATGAGCGGGTTGCACTTCGAAGCTGCTCAAATTCAGTTTAGTAATCGTGCCTTTCCGTCTATCAAAGCTGAGAGGGAAAAAGGGCTTCGCATACCAACTCTTATGTCCTGTGTAAGCATATACTCAATGCAGCTAAGCTGCTCGATCTCGTGCGCCGCGAATACGTCGTAGCATCTCGTCCAAGCCATGTTGATCCGGCAAGATTCGTTCTCTCTAACCAGTGGGAGAACATATGTTTGCTGGCGAGTAAAGAGATGGCAAAACATTTCAAATGTACAGCGCCCGCTTGATACGAATCCGTTCCGCGACGCTCGTTTCGGGCTGGCCACCGTAGCTTTGACGCAAGGGGAGCAAATACTTGGATGCTCGATCAGAGAAGTACTCAACATGGTAAGCAAGATCTTCGATGAAGTTGGCGTCCGTCAGAGATAATGGGTGGCCTATAGATCGAGACGATTCCAAATGTTGACCTACGAACCGTTCGAAGGCTGGAATGTTCTTTTGGGGAAGCTTCCGTGCTGCTAGTGCCGCTGCGGCTTCCGGTACAACAGCTGAGCTAATCTGCGCTGTTATTACGGAGAGACATATGGTGGCTTCGGCCTCTTTGAATGATTGACGTAGATATTGGCAGCTGGCTCTGAGCGCTTTGAGAGACTCAATATCTGAACAAGAGGTGAGAATCAGGACGACGACGTCGGCTGGAAGGCCGAGAAGGCCAGGGGAGGTTGTAGAATTAAGCATGATATAGGATGTATCGTCTTGCGATGGCGACACGCATGGCTATATATACTAAAATTTATGGCTGCCGGTGCTGTCGTTTCTCTTGTTCAATGAAGGGTGATTGCAGGACAATGGTCTCAGGGACCTCATCAGTGCCATGAAGAAACCTAGAGGCCTTCGTCGTAACCGGGGTAATACTAGATCAATGGTGAAAAGTGAAAAGAGTCTGAAAAAGCCGAAGAACTTGAGATATTTCGCCAAACCTTTCCCCAAATCACGCACACAATTTTGGCCGTCGGCGCAATTCCCTCTTTGAATCATTCCAATCTCACCAGGTTCTTCATATTGCAGACTGAAGGGTTGGATGTAATGGGTTCGCTAGGTCGGAGATCGCAATATGATCAATAAGCATACACGGTTCGGCCTCGATCGCCCTTGCATTTGCGCTATTACCGAGAGCGAAACTGTCCGGGCCTGATCGCCGCCTTCAGGAATTGTCTTTGGCGGTAGCGAGCCATACTTGCGTTAGAAGATCCCGAGCGATTTCCATAGAAGCAGCTTAGAGTTGGTCGCATCACCTGCCTCTGCTTCCAAAGGTGTAATCTTAGGCGCGCCGCATTTTCAATGAGTGCCATGGATTGAGCAGTAGCCAGGGTTTAGACGATGGCTGAGGCGGACAACGACATTTTTCGCAGTAAGATCCGCGAGATGCGCAATGCAAGAGCCGAGTAGATCAACCTCCGTGGACCAGACCGGGAGATCGGCAATCGTCCAGACTACCGTTAATTGGTGCCAACTAAGCGAGTTGAGTCGGGGGTCTATCTCGGTTTCGAGAAAATACGATTGCTCGTAAGTTGGCTCTGGAACAGGCAGAATCAGACGAAGACGGTCGTCGTTGGGTGAATCAATGTGACAGAATAGGAGGTATATCGTAAATCGCGACTAGACCTTTAGACCTGACATTAGTTCATTGCTCTATATCGTCTTGGAATTTATAGCCACCGACTCATCTGCGACACGAATTTCAAGGCCACCTGAACTTCAGAGTTGACATCCTGAGTGAGCTAAACCGTTGAGAAATCACTAAGATCAAGCTTGCGCATGACCTTGAAGCTATTATCGTGATACCAGTACGATTTAGATGGGCTAGAAGCCTCATTTGTTGTGCCGTTCCATGTGCCCAAGCCGGCAGGAAGGGTGTCAGTCGTCGTTCTCGCCCGGGGAAGCCTCGATAACGGATAAATCTCGAAATAGGGATCTTTGCCCACAAACGGTAAAGCTTAGGCGACAGAGACAATAATGTGCAGTGATTCAAAGTATCTAGCAGTCGCGGAATAGCAGGATTGATTTGTTGTTGGTGTAGTTGGTGCACTCGGCCAAAGGCTTTCCCGGTGCCGAGGTTGAGTCCGCGGGAGCACCTTGCCTCAGGCACTCATCGTAGCCCTGGGGAAGGAAGGAGCTACGTACCTTCCATTCGGAGAAGCTGCACAAGAACTGAAAGATGAAGCTACTGTCGAGCGCTTAAATTCCGTTGATTGGGAGAGGGCTGGACCTGAAAGAGAGTCTTCCCACCGTCTTGAAACGAGACTCTGAGTCCAAATTAGCTGCGTAACTATGGCGCAAAGAATCACAACGGCTGTAAATTGAGCTCATCTGTCGGCTAGAGGCATGCTGGAGAGTTGTCGTTGGTAAAGGGTAAAAAACAGTGCGCAGGTGCTTCAGGTCATTCCTAACAGCCGTGGGGAACGAACTACCAAGGATTCGGTGTCAACTCCAACAAACCTCCACTACCTCATAAACAAGAAGACAGCGGGTCCTTGGGGAGGGGGAACACAAGTTAGCGCCAAAATTTCGTTTCAATTCATTCAACAGTGTTTCTCGGGGACCTTTGTTGAGTGTCATTTTCCCAAGAACTAGTTCAGTCCATACCTACCTTACCCAAGACTGGCAAACACCAGGCAAGACACTTCATAACCCCGGTTGCACACCCTCAGTCTAAACAATGACAAAGGTTCAAGCCAATCAAGCCCCTCCTCATCCGATCTATCCGTCAAACAGTCCGTGTCCCGTTCAAGATTTCCCAAACGAGCCATCTTTGCTAGCGCTCCGGTCCAATTTGGGTAACTATCTGTCGAGTCCCCTCTCGCCCCGCCGATCTGAAACTGGAACCAACCGTCTGGAAGAAAAATTCCACGAGCTCTACAAGTTTCACCGCGTGCTGATGTTGAGACATTATGAAACGTCATTCGGATTCAAGGCGCCGGTTCGTATTGCAGCTGGCGCCGGAACTCGGCACAAGGCGTCTAGCGATGATCGTTTCACTTGATCGCAGTTTACTATAAAACCAGCGATGGCGTTCTTCAGAAAGTGTGGAAGCCATCAGCTCTTCATTCTCACCATCGCCGACAATAAGAACACAACACTAGCAGAATTTGCAGAAATTAAAACGTCTTCATACCTCGACTATCACATATAAGCAACGAAAATGCCTTCCTGCAACCAGATTATCAGCGCTCTCGCTGTAATGGCTGTGGCCGGTACCAACGCCGCCTTTGGACCTGCCTTCAGCACTGGCCCAGTCGCCTCCAACTCTTTCATCCGTGAATCCACCTCCACTCTTGTTCTCCCTGCTCCCCCGACAAACAACCAGGGTGATGCCTCTCTCTGGGTTGGCATGGGCACTTCCAATGGTGACCTGATCCAGTCTATTGCCGACAACGCGAAGAGTACGGTTGTCGGTGCATCCAAATGGAACATCTTTGCCTATACACTCCTAGCCAAGGGCCGTATGTTTCCCCTCTTGATACTTGATAGCTCAGAGAAGTACACTGACAATTAATCTTGCTTAGCTTCCGGCGGTCAAGAACCTGTTCAGGGAGACGAGGCGCCGGCTGTGGCTGGAGATAAGATCACAATGCACTGTAAGTAGCCAATGTCTGTTCTTATTATGGATGGATACTGACACTTGTGTGGACAGACAAGTACAATGATTCCACCAAGCAGTACGATCAGACCACCCAGATCAACGGCAAGACTGTGTCTACTCTCTCTACTACAGACGGCCACGCACAAGGCTGGGGCAGTGCTGTGGAGTGCGCCGCCGAAGACTGCGGTAGCATGGGTGCTCACAGTACGTGATCTGCTCCTCCCCTTCTAGATGAAACACGAGCTAATTTTCATTTCCAGCGTGGATCAACACCAAGATTATCCTGGATGTGGCGGACCCCAACTATAGCCGGACCATGGTGAAGGGCACAGGTGTTACTGGCGAAATGTCGACTTCTGATGGCGGCAAGACCTGGACTATCAGCACCATTAGCATTCCCGCGTATACATTCTAAGAGAGCTCGTTGAAGAAAACTTGCCTGATTATAAAAGCATGCTGGATGTGCTTACCAGGCAATGAGGAATATTAACACATTATTAGATGGACATGTATTGTCATATATTGAGGCAAAAGCTGACCGAGCATAAACCGTGATCTCTACTCGTTACTCGAGAGTGAACTTTGAACATCAACATAGGAAGAAATATATACCAGGACTGAACCAATGCCATACATGGTCAAGGTACCAAGCGACTCTATCAAGCTGGATATCTATAAGGGATTAAGCCACCACCGTTTCTACCAACATTCAAGTGAATTCTGACTAGAGCTAGGCTGCCCTTTTGCCAAGGCTTCAGGGCTATGGTAAAGCTCATGGGAGACACTCAGTGTAAGCCAAAAGCTGCCTACGATACATCTCTTATGGCCTGTCAAGGGCGCTCCACTCCGATCTTCCGCTCGCCTACACCCATGTTCACCTGCGCCTTAAAGCTAAAATTATCACGGTGCCTGTCGAGCCCAGCGGAACCGTTGCTTCAATCCGCCTGCGCTTACCGACTGCTTGGTTTTGATAGTTGCCGGGTACTCGATCCGCTACGGTGTTGCCAAGTTAAGAGGAGACTGGGAAGAACCTGGTAAGCTGGTCTCTTTGACGAGCCCTTTCCGGAGATTCTCGTCGGGGAGCTATTCAATTGAGAGATTGGATCGTACCCATGGCTCGTTATTTATTACAACGCATGGCATGTGTTTGGCTTACCGTGTGTTCCGATCGCCACTCATCAATCAAGTCAAATTATGGCACCGTGGGCGAGGCTTCAATTGATGTGCCGTGATTGAGCGCCGGGTCCCCTGACAGCCTTGACAGCCGCGACCCCTGGCCTCAATATGTCCTGAAGAGGAAGAAAGTCTAGCCTTCTAATTTGCTGGGTTCTGACATGTGCTGTGCTGTTCAGAGCCCCGTCTTCCCGGTCTTTCCGCCGAGTGTCATGGTCATACGACAATAAGGCCATCCCAAACCTCCGCCCCAGTTATCGCCTCCATCGACATCCGATCTTGCCCCTGCCCACCAATCAGGATTCTCGTTAATCGGATGCAACGCCTTGTTAATTAATTCATCTTCCTTCCAGGTTCTGTCCCCTCGGATTCTCGCATCTAGAGCGATGTTCTCTTAAAAAATCCCCCCTCCTTTTTTTTTTTTCTGTCTTGGTTCTGGCCTCTTGCTAGTTTGTCCTCAGTCCATTCCTTTCAATCCGTCTCTGTCGTCTGTCGGATCATTCCCGCAGCTACTCCAACCTCCCAATGGCGACGCAAACACTGCCAACACTCACTCGCGGCGACGTCGAGTCTCACCGCTCAACTTCCTCCTGCTACGTAACCGTCGGCGACGAAGTCTACGATGTCACCGATTTCATTGAAGACCACCCCGGTGGCGGCGAGCTGATCATGGAGTACGCCGGCAAGGACATCACCGCCATCCTCAAGGACGATGCGTCGCACGCCCACTCCCAAGCGGCCTACGACATCCTCGAAGACAAGCTCGTGGGCTTCTTGCCCTCCGCCAACAACGCAAACGGGAGCGCCAATGGCAGCGCAAACGGCAAGGCCAAGGGAGCCGTCAGGCGCAAGGTGCACCCGCGGACGGGGATGGCGTGCGAGGAGGACCTCAGCGTGGACACCGACTTCGACCTGGACCTCCGCAAGCACAAGTTCCTCGACCTCAGCAAGCCGCTGCTGATGCAGGTGTGGAGGAGCGGCTGGAGCAAGAGGTTCTACCTCGACCAGGTCCACCGGCCGCGGCACTACAAGGGCGGCGAGTCGGCGCCCTTCTTTGGCAACTTCCTCGAGCCGCTGTCCAAGACGGCCTGGTGGATGATTCCTCTGACGTGGATTCCCTGCGTCGCGTACGGGACTTACGTGGCGGCGCAGGGCCTCCATCCCCTCGCGCTGTTCCTGTACTTTGGCTTTGGATTCGGTCTGTGGTCGCTCATTGAGTATGCGCTACATCGATTTTTGTTTCATCTCGACTAGTAAGTTGTCCCATGAAGCGTTACCCAAAAAGAAAATTTAATAGATAGCTAATATATGGTCCTTCTAGCTATCTTCCCGACAATCGAGTGGGAATCACGCTGCATTTCCTGCTGCATGGAGTGCATCATTATCTCCCAATGGACAAGTACCGCCTCGTCATGCCCCCGGCACTGTTCTGCGTCCTCTGCGCGCCGTTCTGGCCCCTCGCCCACGCCATCTTCTTCTACGACTGGTACGCGGGGACGGCCGGCTTCTGCGGCGGCCTCTTTGGGTACGTCTGCTACGATATGACGCACTACTGGATTCACTTCTCCAGCCCGCCGCTCTGGTACAAGGAGCTAAAGAGGTACCACATGGCGCACCACTACCTCGAGTACGAGCTCGCGTTCGGCATCACCAGCAAGTTCTGGGACGGCGTGTTCGGCACCGGCCTGCCCGAGAATCCCAAGATGGAGTAAGAATCTCCCAACGTTGGTTTCCTCCGGATTGGGGTCAGATCTTGCCTGGTGTGGGTGGGATATCCCTTCACTCTCAAAGGTGTGTAATTCAATGCATGAGATATGTATCCGCCGCATTCTAATCGATCGGAAGCTGGGAATGATGGGCATACTCTAAAAATAAAAATTTAATTTGGGATGGCTAAGACAGGGCGGTGATTCCCAAGGTTCTAATGTCAATAAGAAAGCACTATGTATTATGTATATCAAACGAGCGTTTTGCATCTAATCAGTCATTGTGCTACGTATAAATGTATAATGGGAGTATTAAAAAAAAAAAACACTTTGTGAAGGATCCATGACAAGCTAGGATATTATTCTTGCTTTTGAAAAGTGCATACCCTGGGTACTGACTGATGCTCGTCTTTCCCCCAAATCTGGCATCATTGTTGCGGTGTGCAGAGCCAACGTCTTGGTGCATCAAAGCCTTGCTGATCGCAAGATGCTACCGGACCAATCACCATCAGATAATCTTCTCTGAGCCAATGGGACGACATTTAAATCCTCTCGCCGGAGGGGTAACCAGCGAGGGATCGTCGAGCCAATGGCAGGACAAATTACTAGGCCCGGGGGGACTAAGGCAGACTAAGGGAGACGCAGGCCTCTGGCAAGCACACATTCGGGGCGACTGGCATAACACGGAGTAAGCCCGCAGCATGCACATGCAACCGTGAGTCGGTGGCTTGCGCTGCCCCACTGCACCCCTCTGAGGGAGGAAACAATCACCTCTCCTCTCCCCTCCAAGTGGGTGATGCCCTCTCCTCTTCCCTCCGCCAAGTGGGTGATGGTCCGCTCGGTCAGCGCACAATGCCAACCCATGACCAGAGACCCACGACTCCATCGCATCCCGTTGATCTAGGCCCAGGCAGCGGTGGGTCTGTGGGCAGCTGAATGGATGTCTGCCGGCAATTGTGTCGGGTGTCGCCGTGATTTTGTAGGTATTTTCCCCCGTTTTCCCTCAAGGGTTCTGACTTCCGGGGAATTATTAAGGTAGATTTTAGTCCCGTCCCACTGGATATCGAGATGCGCGTGAGCTTTTTTCCAGGCAATCTGTGTTTTAATATGTATTTACAGAGATACCCCCCATCCCAGCTGAAAATGACGGAAAACTGACTTGGGCGATTGAACACGCGTACGGCTCGGGGCACAGCCAGCCCAAGGAAAAAGGAAATGCAGTTTTAACCTCCAATAGTGCATGTGCGGTAGAGCCTTGAACCCAACCACCGGCCGTGCTGCGTACATACCCAACCGGTCAGCTACATGACTGGCTGCGTGCGGCTGAGTATCCTTGCTGGGCGAGGACCGGAGTGTCTCAGCGCTGCATCTGTATCCTGTGGGAGACCCAAAGCGACAACATGAACCCAAGAGTGGCATAGATCTGTAGGTAGGCAATCGAGGCGATGTTTCCTCACTCTTCGGCTGGCGCCAGCTGAAACAATGTTGGTAATGAGGACTTCCTTCCATTTCTTCCATCTTAATTTGTGAGAGATAGAAAAAACCAAAAGTGAAGCAGGCAATTACGTATAGGCTCTAAGCCAGCGAGCTCGTTCTGTCTAAAACTTGTGGTTTGCTTGAATAGGTGCCTCTGGGCGGGGGAAGTGGCTTCCCATTGCATGAATGTAGTACAGCATCGCCGCTCACCAGCCGACGGTCTCCTGCACGGATAGATACCACAAACAAGGCTCGGAGAATGCGTTGGAAGGAGGAGGAAACAGACTGGCGTCATTGATTGCGCCCTTTCATATCTACACGCCTCCTGGTACCTCCTTTAACATAGGATAAGGCTCTGCAAAAGCAAGTACAGCCTATCCGTCCTATCCTTGTCTGCGAGTGCAACTGAATCCAGCTGAAATGTTTCACTCTTCCGATATCGCGAGTAGGTCCACAGTAAGATGGACAAGTCATATTCATGCTTGCGTTGTTTTCGGAATCTCCGATGGTCCTGTCCTCCTCCTCTTCCAGCCTATTCATACGTGTTGAATCGGGTGCCTATCGCCCATCTCAAGAGGTTCCCAAGGCAGAAATTGAGCAAAATTTAAGACACGGTGAGAGTCATGAATGAGAAAGACGAGGTGTGGAATATATTGGATAATATCGCTAGATCATCCGTTGATTGCTTGCGAGTAGTGCTCCAGCCTTGTTGCAATTCCATACCGCAGAGCGGGGTTCGAAGTAGGCTGTACCGTCATTCATATGCACTATGACCACCTTCATGGCTCCTATCAGGTAGTTCAGCAGTCAGCACTAATGCATAGGGCAGCTTGCTCGCTCTTATCAATTATACTCAATAGCATTGTGTTTTCGGTCCTTAAATACGGGTGTTCCCCCCGTGCAACCAGACTTGCTTTCTCCTCTCTTCATCAACTTCTATACCTCACACTTCTACACACAATCCGCCTTGATCCTATTGCAATCATTTTCTCTTCTCATCTTCCCTCCAACTTTGCCCGTCTCCGTGTTATCGCATGAAACATGGCCACGCAGGTACAGCCACGGGAGGCCAAGCTTGAGGACCTGGAAGGGATCCTCAGGACGGACATCAGCGCCTTCGAGGGCAATCCGGAGCGAGAGAGCAACATGACCAAAAATGGCCCGGTAGCGACCAAAGAGAGACTCTTGGGCAAGTACACAAAGTTCATCACCGATGAGCGCTTCAAGATGAGCGTTGTTGAAGTCAATGGTGAAGTCGTATCCATTGGCGTCCTTGATTTCAAACCCTTCGAAGATGACAGAGGATGTGAGTAAATCCCATCACATCCGGTCCGCATAAGCTAATCATATTATCAGTGTCGGATGACGTTTCAGACGTTACAAGCACAGGCTATAACGCCTACAACGATGTGTTTCACACATACTTCGCCCCGCATGGGGATAAGCTTGTGATGCTTCGCACCCTGGCTACCCATCAGGACAACCAACGCCAAGGCTGTGGCAAAGCTATTGTGGCCGCACTGAAGGACGCGGCCGAGAAGCGGGTGATTGCCGTTTTCTCAAGCATAACGGCAGAAAACTTCTACAAGAATGAGGGCTTCAAGCATGAGGGAACCCGTGGCACAGAGAAAAACCCGGCTCTTGGCTATACATTCGGCGGGAACTAAATTAGAGCTATAGTTAGTCCTTTAGTGACCGTTATCTCGTCTTGCTTTCTTAGCCCCTTAGCTAGTTGCTGTCTCAAACTCGCGCTCCTTTTGGATGTCGACAGCTTTCCCGTAGAGCTAGGTAATACTATTCGTCTGCACATGACATCTCCACACAACACTCGCATATGTTTCTTCATGCTTGCACATCGTGATGTATTGTAGCAAGGGCTACACCACTCTGTATGCCAGTAATGACCAGCTTTTGAGCCAGGTCGCAGCATGTGTGTAAATCGATACCGTAGGGCAGGGCCTGTAAGCCGCTATCGACGTCATTATCTGGAAGAGGGCTAACCAATAACACAACACGTCAGTAGGGTGCGTCTTATCGCGCGCGACAGACACAGAGCAGGCGAGGCAAATGTTTTTCATGGCCTAGGCAACTATCAACACAGATCCATGAAGGTCTGCGGACGGACGTACGAAGTACGTGATAGTTGCAAAGTCGCGATGGGTATGTGTCTAAGAGCCGATCGAAGCGGGGGAGGCTGGTTGAACTAGAGAAGTCTCAGAGAACTGAAGCGCCGGGGTACCATGGTGCTAACTGGGTACAGAGTATCCGACTCAAGCCGCTATATTTAATTGAGTTGGATTGTGAGTTGAGTTAAACGTCAGCTTAGTTGAGCACGAGAATCCTTCATGGCGCTCGCCCTCGCGAGGAAAAAGGGGGAGGAGTAGTTGGGAGAGATACCAGGGCTCCAGAGCATCTTGTTTGACATGAATCAGTCTGGCGACAATTAGCCCTTCAACCTATCAGGTAGCATTGCCCTACACACGCTGTTAGCTCCATGTTTTTTGAAGGTTAATATGACAACACAGTTCCTTTCCTCCTGGTATACCAAAAATAGACAGTATCCACTTCCACAATCCTTGATGACAAGTGCCTGGGATAGCAAACAGCAGTCAGATGTGAAAACCCCTCATTTGGGCGGTGAAGGATTGCTTCAGTCGGTACTCAAGCGTCAATTAAGTTCGTTCAAACTATAACAGACCGTGTTAACTAAATATCGGTCGATATGGCTGACAACACGTCCCGGCTATGTCACGCATGTGCATCTATAGACCCTTACAAGCCATGCCACGGGCCAGAGTATCGACCCCGCGGGGCTTCATACTCCACCCATCTCTTTTACCCTCATCATGCCTCCGTTGCGGATCTGCGAATCTCAGCTGAGAGTCACAAGTGCCAAGTTTGCGTTCTCATTTTGACAAGCGTTGCCAACCACAAGCCTGAGGATATCGCAGAGGAGGACGAGTGGGACTTTGTTCTCGATGAGGCGGGCTCCGAAAAATCTGATGAGGGGAATGTTCCCGAAGCAGTTATCGAGGCTCACAGCGGAGTTTTTGAACACAAGGACTCACCAGCCATACGTCCCGAAGATGTAGACTCTCCTTTAGTTCTGGAACTGGTGTTCAGAGAATGTGACCGATCCGAGTTAGAGAGTCGTTGTAGCGATTTCATCGTTCATTGGACAAGTGAAAGCGAAGATGGAGACGGACCTACTCGACAGAAAACAACCGGCCTATGCTTAGTATCTGGATTTGAAGGTAAGTGAAACAAACGCTGGTGTTTCCGTATTAATCCTGAATACATGAGCTAACAAGGGTTCACGATAAGATGCTTTGACAAACTTTTATGAGTCACACGACGGACTAGCAGACCAAGATACAGGAAGTATCCCGGCTTTGGATCTGGCAAAGGTCTGGTTTCAATCTTGTGATTCGTCTCATGAACAGTGCCGAAAGGCCAGAGACATACGAACTCGATACTTGCCGACACGCGTACTCGACGTCAGCGATGAGAAACACATTTTCGTTTACGTCCCTGAGAGGGAACAAAGAGATGAGTACGTAAGCCTCAGTCATTGTTGGGGCATCGGGAAGCAATTCAAACTAGAAACCGCGTCTCTGAAAAGCCGACAAACGAAAATCAATCTGCATGAGATGCCCAAAACATTCCAGGACGCAGTCCGTATCACCAGACACATGGGCTTGCGCTATCTCTGGATTGACAGCCTCTGCATCGTACAGGACTCGGAGAAGGATTGGTTGCAAGAGGCTGCGAAGATGGGTCAGTATTACCGCGATGCCAGTTTCACCATTTTTGCCGCGGCAGCAGACGGCGACGATAAGGGCTGCTTCTGGGATCGAGATGGTAGAATAGCCGCCCCTTGTAGGGCAGCTATATTCGACAAGCTGCTTCCGATCATGAAGCCAGGAAGTGGGAACTCCGATGCCTTCGTGCAGAAGATCGCCCACCATTGGGGCCGAACGCCAATGCCAGCGCAATATCACTTCCTAGACACTGTCAGGACATTAGATGAAAGGCCAACCCCACTCAACGAGAGAGGGTGGACCTTACAAGAATGGATTCTGTCATCCCGCGGCCTCATCTTTGACGAATGGGAGGTGAGGTGGTCCTGCCCGACGACTGAGGCTTGTGAATGTATACCTGAGGGCAGAGAGCGACAGCAGCTGCCAGGATGGTATGGTTTTGCCGACCAGGCGAGCGGAGGAAATGACGTAGCAGACAAAGAGCCGGGGGATCACACATTCCAACTACTTTCTCTTTCCTGGAACCAAATGATCCGCCGATTTTCGACGAGAAAGCTAACATATCCCAAGGACAAGCTCCCAGCCCTGGCAGGGGTGGCTGCCGAACTCTTGAACGAAAACTTGGGATCCTACCTGGCCGGTTTGTGGCAGCATAACCTGCGTCGAGATCTGGCTTGGTGGGTTCCAGCGGTGGCCTTGAACTCGCCGCCGGATGTCACTCGGCGTGCGGCCAGTTATCGCGCACCTAGCTGGTCTTGGGCAAGCATCGATGGAGAACTGAGAACCACGACCATCTATAGAGTCAGCGAGGAGACCACGTTGAGGGGATTGAGCAAGCAAGCGCGCCACTCCGAGTGTCGGATCGTCAAGTGCGAAACCATACCTCAGAGCTCCCTAAATCCTCTGGGAGCGGTGGCAACTGGTGTCCTCACTCTGAGAGGCCGTATGCGATGCGCAGATATGTTACCGCCCTCCATACATCAAGTTTTCAATACCATAACGATAATAGACCCTGAAACAAAGGAAGAGCTCGGCTATTTCCTCCCAGACGATACTTCTGCTCCTCCCCGCTACACCAAAGTCTGGTGCGTTCTTCTCTATACTGGGTCCGACTTGGATATTACGTGCCTCGCACTCGTCCGGGCTGCGGATGAAGAAAAGGATACTGCGCATCAGCACTTCTCGATCCCGGAAGATGCATTTTGTAGAGTTGGAATAGTGCGTCTCCAATGGAAGGATCCAGCCATGGGCGAGGCTGTGTACAATCGGTACACATATGAAAGAGGGACCGTCAACTATGAGGTTAATGAGGACTTGTGTACATTGGGTGTGTTGCTCGCCTGGTTGAACAGAGGCATAGAGCAAGATATATGTATCATTTAGCGTTGCATACAGTAAATGCTATATCTTGTAGCCCAATGTGCTCCCAAGGGCGGTAGATCTCTGTCGAACCAAGCTTTGGACATCGTGGAATGGCCACAGAGGAAGGCGATCGCTTGGACGAAGTCGCGGAAGGCAAGGGCGCTCTCTGGATGCTCGATTGTGGCATTGAAAGGTCGGAGTGAGGAATAGAGAGGGCATGGCTCTAATTGTATTGTTCCTCTTCGGGGATTTGCGTGAGGAGATAGGAGTATAGTGCATGTTGATCCAGCCTATAGACTTCTAAATTAGCAGGTATCATAAAGAGCGCACCCGAGAGAGACAAGGTACAATTTCTCGAATTGGAATGGAGGGTGAATATTGCTACAAGATCCTGTCTCCCCTGGCCATGGTTGTTGCCCGAAAAGTAGGAGCTACGCGCAGAGTAGAATCGCCGAGAGTCGATCGTTGGGTGTACTTTTGTTGTCGCTCGTCTCGCTTGATTTCAAATTCAGGCGAGGATATGCTATGAGGCCAAGGCAGAAAGGATGCTCTGAAAATGTGTTCTTTGCATTGGCGGATGTACCAGGCTGACGGCATTGGGAGAAGAATGAAGGACAGATGCAGTGGCTTGCAGCAATTGTTTCCTGAGGACACGACACGTGATTTCAACTGCGAGGCAAGAAGGAAGGAAGGAGCGAGACGACCTGCAAGAATGGGAAAAGCAGATGGCTGAAGGCTCGTGGCTGCCTCAGGTATCATGCCAGATGTTGGTCAACTGCAAAACAAGTGCACGCCCGCACAGCCTAAATATCATGTTGAAATGAGATGGAATGCGAAGGCTCTGCATCAACATGGGAATGTGCACGGTTGAAAGGGAGCATGGAGTCACAGTGACCTTACCACGCCGAGGAGCACCTGGGCTGTTGGCACTCATCTATAGATACCTACCTAGGTAATAAAGGTATTCGCAATACGCTCGGTCTCTCATGGGCAGACATAAATATATTTGACGTAGGAACTAGGATAAGACTAGAATAAGACCATCTGTCATTCAGTTACCATCTGTATGAGCCAAGTAAATATCCAGACTCGATACAAAAATCAATCTGTTTGGTACTGTCGATACCCATAACCAGCCAAGGATAGTTTCGTTAATTATCTCGTAAGTTTTTTAGTTTTCTCCCTTTTTTTGAATTTTCTCTTTGTTTCTCATATTTTGGGGCTGTTCCCTTGGGCCAAGATAGAAATGCTGTTCAAATGTCCTCCGTGTGTCATCGCTCAGTCAAACTCTCTCTTTGTTGTCGCACTACCCTGACTGCAGCTCAAATGGACAAACTGTGAATAGACTCTGACATAAATCTGATAAGGTCATGGGTGGCAATCTTCCAAAGTTGGCTTCTCGACCAGTCAAGCGAAATACGCAAACTTGAGGGCTAGTTGAAGAGCACTCCCCTCTCAAGCAGCCGACCTTCCTTGGCCAGCTTACGAGCTTCGCCATCCATGAACCCATGGACATAGGCGGTCCCGACAAAGGTGTATACTCCTCTGCCGAGAATTAGGCCTCTTGGACGTAGTATGAGCGGGACGTTTGATCCCCTCACACATGCAATGACGTCTCCCGGCTGAGCATGCTGCATCATGGTGAATAACCCGTTCTTGGTGACGGCGAAGGTCCAATGCTGGCTGACGCGTCGGATCATTTCGTGGTGTTGGGGCATTAACTCTGACCAGAAGCCCATCTTTGGGTTGCCAGAATCGTCGTCAGCCACAGGCACTTGGGAGTGGCCGTTCAAGATTGCTCTGAAGATGCGATCCATTGTCGGCCTCTTCTCGTTCTTGGTTCGCATAACGGGATACGCGATAAGGTCTGTCGTCAACGTTCGCCAAAGGGCTCGAACCAAGGTCTCGCCCGTCGGCGCATACAACTCATTGCATTCGAGCCTCGCTAGATCGAGACCAGCGTTCGTGAGCCATTGGCGCAGCTCGGTGTTCCAATATTGCATGGCGGCGCTGAAAGGATAGGTTCCCTGGCAGTATAAGCCTCTGCGCATAATGTCGTTTTCATCCTTCATGACATCTCGAGAGATTGAGCCGATGATCGTAGCCATCACCCCCAGGTACTTCTGATGAAAAACTTGAAAACATATGCCGCTGGGTGGTGCAGCCTCGTATATCCCTACCTGGCCGAAGAGCAGCGTCTCATGGTTTTCGAACCCCAGGCTGTTGGCGAAATCGGGCACCCAACAGGGCAAGCCGCGAATACGAGTAGACGCTACCGAATAAGTCAGAGCTCCGTCCGGATCATGTCGTGGTCTCCAGGCTGTCTGGCAGATAAGGTCCAGATTTGCTGCGTTGTTGATGATGGCAAGCGCGGTGTCCGTAAATAAGGTGGGCAGCGAGTCGTAGTAGTTCACTTGGATGCCGAGCCTGTCATTCACAAGGCCGAGAACACCGTAGACGTAGTCTTTGGGGTCCGTTGCCTTGCTTTCCGCGAAACGCATAAGCACTTCTAGGAGTGTCGATGAGTTGCACTTCCCCCGTATCGAATTCTCTTGGATCAGGCGTTGGTGCTCAATCTTCAGCGGTACGGCAAAAGCATAGTTGAGCAGTTTTGGATGGTAATTCCAGTCGGGGGAAGCGTAGAAGGCGTTGGAATAATGAACATTATGGAAGAAGAGACTGATGAATTGCCAACTCAGCTCGTAGTGTCCGGCAACCAGAACGAGCCGACGGGCAAGTGACATTTCTTGCATGATCCAAAGCCGCTTCCAAAAAGGAGGCTTGATAAATAGATCGCGCATGAGCTCCGATTGCTCTCTGTCTAGGAGAAATGGAGCATCAATGGGTAAATACCGAGATTGTGCATGCACAGCCAGGGGATCCTTTTCACGACGTCGTGCAGGGTCATCGGACTCATCGCCAGCATGGATGAAGTTGGCATGCATTTGAAGAAGGGTGCCATAGTCACGTACGCAGATCTTCCTCGTCAATTCCAGAGCCTCGCCCATGATCCTGACGTCGGACTTGGCTTGTTGGACGATCAACTGATTGTCTGAAGACCAAGCGAGGTCGTCATTGGTGGCGATGGAGCTGAAGGTCGGCAGCCATGCGAGAACGGCTTTTGAGCGCGAGTAAATCTTCTTCATGAGCCGCGCCTGCTTGCTTCGTTCCGTGAGGTCGCTCTGATTAACGCAGAGAGCATCAACCCATAGTGTGCGGTCCCTCCTGGCCGATCGGAGGTACCGCAATGCCAGCTCGAGGTTTTTGGTGATTTTGTGAGGCTTGCCGTTGAGCGTAATGGAGTGCACGAAAAGCGGTTCGTCCCAAACATACGACAAGGCCTCATACTCTCCGATTGTGTCGTTTCGAAGCTGGACGTGGACGAGGTTGCAATTGATGGGCGCAGCAAAATTGTCCGATTGTGACAGCTTCAGCACGCGTATCTCTCCAGCCGAGCTGTTTAGCTCATTGTAGATGTCCTGACTTCGATGTCCTGAAAATTGATACACAGTCCTCGGCGCCATTATTTGATGTCCCTAGGCTATGGCCAGGGATGCGATGGATTGCGTGAGGTCTGGTCATGGAAAAAGGTGATGATGGTGAGAGAATCAAGCCTGTGACACGGCACAGGCGGGGGGTTTGTTATCGGATGCCGGGGTGGGAATTTTCCAAGGCTGCTTGGGAGGTGAGGTAGCAGCACTTTCGGCACGCCTGGCGATACAAGTTTGTCTCATGCGAGAGCCGGACGTGCGGGTTGAGCGCGGGCTGAGAGGAGGGAGGCGTCTCGCCGTTGAGTCGCAGTGCAGTCTGCTCGACGTGGCCCGGATGCTGCCAAATGGTATCTGCAGCCAGTGAGGATTAATTGGTGGCACCTAGCAAGGGAACGAGGGCAGCATTGAGGTATCGCGAATGTCGCATTGTGCGTGTAGCATCGATGCACGACGAGGGTGGTACAACACCCCCTTTCCGCAGATGGACAGGCAATAATCAATCACGTTGGGCACGGCGGTGGCTGCTTATTGCTTCTGCCATGCGCAAACCGGTTAGTGCTGTCTCACAGAACTTGCCCGTGGGCTGAGCAGCTGCGGCCGGTTGGTGCAGCGCCTGTTGGATAATTTGAAGACGTAAAAAATGCAGAAGGATATCTTTTGCACATCAAATCAAGTGTCGCACATTCCTCATTGTCCACCGGGTGCTGGGGAGAGCTTTGTCAGGCAGCAACTTCCTTCCCCTCCTCCGCCCCAGAATGTGCAGCTGTCAAGGGTAGCATTGGGGAAAGAAACAGGTTCATGTGCAGAGGCCCAACCACCACCGTACATTGAGCATGGCTGCCTCATGTACTGTGTACTTGGACCAACGGTCGCTGGCACCAACAGCATCATGCATCCAAGTATCGGTACCATGAATCATGTCACTCTTGGTCGGGTTTCGCTCCAGCTGGACCTTCTTGGGCAGAGCACAGCTACCGTTGTATCCCCCCTTACCCTTGCAGGCTGCCGAATGCACTGAGGCCATTGCACATGCAAATTATCCCACAAGCAGCCCAGCTGATGAGGTGAACAAAGGGTGCACATGTCCGATGGATGCATGCAGTTTCAGAAACAATATCAATTCGTTCTTGTACTATCGGCGTATTTCTATAATGAAAAAAATGCACACCCCCTCCAATCCTACTCCAGATGCCCAACGACCCCAAAATTCATTCCAAGATACAGCAACGGTACGGATTTCTGCTCCGGTTGTCCGTCTACATGTTCATCGTCGCAGCGACAATGGCACCGCACAAGCCACCCACACCTACTTAGGCCGAGCTGGTTGGTGCGCTCGAGGGCGTTGCTGAAGGGGTGCTGCCGGGGCCGCCGCCAGGAGCACCACCACCATTGCCGCCTCCCATGCCAGAGTTGGCGTTCTCGACACCGCCGTCCTCATAGCGGAAGGCGGCGGGTGTGATCTCGGTCGAGGCGGTGACGTTGATGCCAAAGGCGAGCCAAGCAAACAGGCCCTGGCTGACATCATCGCCGAGAAGCGTGTACTCCATGACTGGGTCGACGCCATCCGTAGCGACCTCCTCGGACAGGATTGAGTCCTCGGCGTTGGTCGTGAGCTCCTGTGTGTTGGTGTTGTATGGTTCGACCAGCTCCACTTCGCTGATGAGGTCCTGGTCGAAGAAAGCCTGCCCGACGTGGCTGGCATAGTTCTCATTGCCGAGCGTGTAGTTCTTCTGAAGAGTGGCATTGGTGTGAACCATGACGTGAATGTGTGTAGCACGGCCAGTGTAGTGGCCGGGGAACAGAGATAGGAACTGGGCCACACCCTCATCGTTGGTGGGCTGGATGCCTCGCAGGAACGTGTTGTCAATGTTGGTTTCGTCGTTTGAGTTACCATTGCCACTGGCCACAATGCCCGAGTAAACACCAGTTGAGTTGCAGTGCCACATCTCGAGATACACGTCGGGGACGGGCTCGCAGGTCTCGACATCAATAACCTGGTAATCAAGGATGATCTCGACACCCTCTTGGTCTTCAATCACCGAGTAGCGAACATCCTCGCCCGACACATCTAATTCTGTCAGTAGCTGCTTAATTGCAGGTTATTTGTGTTTGCCACTTACAGTATGGGCCCTGGGTAACCTCAGGTGTGAGGACGCAGGAGTTGATGCCAGCAAAGAGGGTGGCGGCGTCTGTGTTTGGTGAATAGTGCTGATCAGTCATGTTGTGAGATGTCGCCAGGATCCCATCGAGGTCACGCTTCTTCTTGCTGTCAAGTCCTCGCTTCTGGCGGGCTGATTCAACAACGGCGGAGCGCCGAGCCTTGTTTGAAGCAGCCAAGCCATTCTCCTCCCACCTCTTGGCGCAGTGCCTGAGAGAAGGCTTCTCGGCAGCCTGAAGGAACTCTCGTCGTTCCTTGGCCTCTTGCCTCACGTCGTGTCCAGGGTGAGCAATGACACTGCTAGCAGCGACGGCTAGTACACAGAGGGCCTGAGAGCGCATGTTGATGTTTTGGTTGTGAAAGTTGTAGGTCTGGGGAAGGGAGTTGGAGATAGGTGAGAAGGAAGAGAGATGTCTGTGGTAGGGAAAGAACGTTGTGGTTCGTGGCGCACCTTCGCAGTTATTATACTGGACTTATCTCTCTGTGCCAGAGAGTGTGTTTACTATCCCTTTTGACTGTCGTCGTCAACAACAGTTTCATTACTAGGCTCCTGGTGTCCACTCTAAGGCTCAACCAGGGGCAATTGGCCAATGCGCAGTCTCATTGAGGGCTAACAGAAGCACCGATGATGGCATCTTCGAGTCCTGGAACCAATCAAACCAAGCGTTTTGTCATACGCGGCTTTGGAGGATTGCGTTGCCCTTCCGAGGCGGTGGGGGTTGGGCGCTCCGCCTCGGCAGTTGTCCCATCGCATCTCGGTTCCACAAAGCTTGAATCCAACAAGGCCTTGAATCAGAACGAGACAATTGGTAATGGGCTGTGGATACTCGGACAGGTCAATTAGTCCGGATGGGATTGCCGGTCCGGCACTAGAACTGGTGGAGTTGAAAAAGCCCCGTCATGGTGACGCGGACGGACAGAACCTGCGACGGCGAGCTTGAGCACGACCAGCTGGTGCGTCTGCTCGGAACACCGTTGAACAGGCGTACGATCGATTCATCTTGGGGCCTGTATGCGCAAGATTGTTCCCAATGTCGTCTTCTACGTTCAAACTACGATTAGCCAGACGGCGCCGGTTGTCAGAAGCTTGGCTCTGCCCTGCCAAGCCGTAAAATTACGCTTAATATTGGGTCGCCAATAGTCTCAGCCTTTATTTCTCAAGCCAAGCAAGCCAAGCCCGCGAGTCAAACTAAAACTGGTGCCCGGGTAAACGGCATTGAAAACCAACCTAAAAGCGCTGAAAGCCACAGGTCAACGTGTTCCGGTGGGCATCTGTCCCACAACTTGCAACGGGCACGTCAAGAAGCTCAGCCTCATTTCGGCGGTGGCCACCCAAAACGAGTCATGGCTGTCGATCACTTGAGATGGGACTCCACGATTGACGAGGCCCCCCTAGCAAACCACAGATGAATCCGAGGTTTTACCTTCTCTCGGAGTATCAAAGGAAGCTTAACTTGCCTTAGGTAGCCAAGTGTGTGGCAGGCCGCGAAGCTTACATTTTTACTACCCGAAGTGGCTAATTGACGGCCACGGCACGAGCTCCTGGACGCGTGGTTTTCAGAACAAGAACTGCCGAACTACGTCAAGGCTGTTACTAAGAGATCAGACCTTACCAGTGTCTCTATGCCATTGTTCTTGAGTTGAATTCCCATTCTGTCTCCACCACATAGTATCAAAGGTCATGCGGGCAAGATTAGATCTTTCCCCGTGCGCGTGTGCGAGGCATACAGTAGCAAAAATCTGCCTTGAGCGTCATGTCTGGGGAGAATAAGCTCCGCGTGTGTAGGACGTAATTTCATATTTCTGGATGAAACCTTTGGCCTAAGCTTGACTTTTTCGAGAACCCAATCTTTGGAAATGACCAAATAAAAGTAGTGACGATCACCTACCCAGAATGCAACCTGACCACGCGTACGCCAACTTCCTAGAGCCATAATGTCCGGCAGACTTCTGTCTAGTTATATCACATTACATTATTGAGCTAACTAATTGGTGTAGATGAAGAGTCTCTACGTGGCGTTTCTCATTCTGGACATTGTTCAAGCAAACATTGAACATGTCACATGAGGAGACGCGCATTGGCCCTTCCGTCTCTAACCACACGTGAACAAAGAGTGAGCATTCGGTGGCAAGTTTCAAAAGGAGGGCTCGCTACCCCTGCGGTGATCTTTCCGTTCCATCCTGGTGGATAGAATAGGTAGAGCACGACTATTCGCGGATGGCGAGATGCACATCCATTTGTAGCAACTGAGCGAGTGTTCAACTTGAATATGGTGATGAAATAAGTCTTGGTATAAACAGACTACTAAGAGCTTGCAATACCATAATACCAATTACGGATAGGGCACGAGACAGTGGACGTTGGGTGAAGAAGGCCCCCTCGATTCTCCCACTACTTGCCTCCCTGTCTCCGTGAAAGTCCCCCAACTCGCCCTGCTGTTCCAGACGGTAGCAGCCTGGAGCCCCTGAACAGTAGGCCAGGCCCTTCCAGCTGCTATGTATCATTGTCATTGATGTCGCTGTGTCCGTGTGCTACATGGGGCACTAGGGCCAAGACTTGCACCTTCCGTGTCAGACATTCCTTCTCTCCGATTCCTCAGCTTTCTATCCCCTCCTTCTCAGCTCAGGTATCTTCTCCATCCGAATCCTCAACAGGGTGGAAGATCCTTCTCGGTCACTTCTATCTTCATTGAGTATCGATTGATTACTCCTGAGAAGTCACCAAGACCACTGGTCCGCGACCATAACAAGTTTTATCGTCCTGATATACATTTAGCCACAGCGATCATTGACTCAGGGGCGACCTTCCCATGGGAGGCAAGAACCCAATATACCTGCATCGCGAGTTCGTGTCACATCATCTACGTACGTTTCC